TCTTTGACGCATTTTCAGGGGCTCGCTCGGTACGTGGATAATCCGCCGTGGTCCATGGATAAAGCACATCTTCGTCGTTTTATGGAGGGAACTATGATCGAAGTTTCTCCTTGAAGGAAAGTGCATGCTGCAAACAAGTTTGCTTCCACCTTGAAGGTGAATCTAATGGATTTTGTTCCAGAAAGAGTCAAGTATTTCAATGGGATGTCGATATCTACTTAACAGGCAAAAGAGGACTTACCAGTCAGGACGAAATGCTAAAAAAGTTTGTTCATCCACTCTGAATCCATGAAGTGTAATGCTTGAGGATGTGCTATACAAATTTAAGATTTTTCTCCAGATTGGAACTCAAAATGATTAATGTGCATCAAGGAAACTTTAAATTGAGATTATTATTATCATCATTATGTTTTTATTAAATCACACTTCGTTTCTTCATTCAACCTAATAAACCAACACGTACAAGCTACAATTACTCAGTAGTACAGAATGTAATGAAAGAGAACGGACGCACACAGATGAAACCCATGTGAAAACTACTTCATCCGAAGCATCAAGCTGTTAATATTAAGTCTTTTCTGTTTCATTCTAATGTTCAATCCTTCCTTTTGTTTCATCATATTCTGTAAAGTAAACGTCTGCGAAGTATGTCATGCGGGACAATTAGCTTTTGAAAATGAAGTCTAATTTATCACTTCTGTCAGGCAGACTCAGCCTATTCTTTTATTCATGTAGGCCTACTTCATTAATTTGAATCCTTTCATCGGTTACTTCGTGGGTGATAAAATTTAAATATGTCTGATAATGTCGTTGACTTAGAGTTTGATGCGAGGCCACAACAGCGGGGAAAACACTGTTACCAAGGAATCTGTGACCAGCACCTGTAGTTTTCTAGCCGCAGAAACACCACCCATTCCATTTTGAATGCCTTCAGTTCCGCAAGATACTTGCACCAGTGCTGAAGAACGGAGTTTGTTTCACACTGGGAAATAAGGTGGAATTTATCTTAAGCTCAGCTGACAGAATCGACCCTCCTCGAGACTACAATGTTTACCGAGACGTAGGTCAATCTGTATCTGCAGAAATGTCAATTTGATTACTGTAAATTCAAGCCGCTGCACGATTCGGAAAGTTTTCCTCTGTGTTTTTTTTTTCGCCGCGAGTCGATGTGACTGACGGTTCACATGTATCTCGGCTTACCTCTGTTGCGCGCCGAGTCCGTGCCACATTCGGGTAGTCTGTTTTGGCGTCAGCCAGTCTACCAAACAGGAAGGCATCTTGGATTTTGAAACGCGACCTCGGCTAGGTTTGCTGAAGAAACTGCCCGCAAATTGAAGTGTAGGCTACCTATTTGCCTCATATAGTTTGACGTCAAGATCTTTCGTGTCGTTTTCTCCGCGGTAAATGGTATTTGTGATGAAATTGTAAGATCGACGACCGCAGTGTAGGAATATTACACCAGTGGGACTTTTCCTTGGGTTTGGGGGTCATAATGAAATCAGAAAAACATACGAAAATCCAAGATTGCAAATTTTTGGATACTTATGGGCTGTTTATTTTAACATATCCGCCAAAACAATGATGTGAAAAACATGCATTTTAAAACTGTTAATTAGCGAACATTCATATTATGTTGCTTCTATTGTCACTGCTTCTTAGACATTTACTTCTCTTACTCAAAAGGTTTGTGTGCGACAAATCTGAAAAAAAAAACTGCTCAACTTATCAAACTAGCTAACACTATACTCACTGCAGACTTGTAGCGATTTATCACTCATTGGCAGCGTCTCTTTGGAAATGCTCCGTCGACGTGACAGGGCTGTACGGGTGTTTGGTATTATATTTATTCATGAAGAAGTTGTTAAAGTATTTCATCGCTCTTTGTATAAATGTGCCAAAGAACATGGAGAAAGAGGATGGACGATTAATACTTAAAAAACAAAATCCTGGGATTCCGTGTTCACTTAATAATCTCAGAATGTTTATGGATCTAGGAAATCAGAGGTAACTTAACTTAGAGCACTGCAAAGACGGTGGATGCCCAGGAATATATCAACTCGAAGATGGTGCTCTTGCACAATGTTAAGGTGGCTCTTGTAAAAGTCAATCGTGTGGTTGCCATGGAAAGACAGCACCGTGGATCACGAGAGGATGCAGCATTCATTACAGAAAGTTGTTTGAAGTAGCCAAGGTGGTAATAACCAGGTGTAAAGCCAGCATCATGACGGGGGGGGGGTAGGACTCCCTGTGGAACTCAAAGGGCAGAGTTGAAATTTCTTTATATAAGCCTATCTTTTTATCGCCTTTCTGAAAGGAGAGGATAATGTTGTGGGGCTTAATTGAAGGGCTTTGGATATAGGAAGGGAAATAAACTACCGCAGTCTCCTAAATTTCCTTTGCTATCCCCGTTTGCCTTCCCCCGCACCACAGTTCCGCTAATGCCGACAACATCGCCACAGCTTTGCCCATGGTAAGCTGTGACCGAATCAACTTCGCTATACGGCAGGGAGTAAAACTGCGCTTTGAGAATCTGACTCCATCAGCGAACGTGATATTTTAGTCGTAGCCGTGACTTTGTATGATGTAACTGTAGTGTTCAGTTGGTTCTGCACACGGACCATTACTCTGCGTGAGTGGAGGCGGTGTGTAACACGGGTAACCTAAAACATGTTGCTGTGACCAGCTCACCAAATCGCCCAGTAATCCTAAGCGCAAAGCGAAATCAACGAAGCCACAAGCAACGCAATTCCCATGCGGCTTCTCGGCTGGAAACCCTTACACCCAATTCTGGCAAAGAAAATGTTCTTTACGCTTGGCATATTAATTCCTCAATGTCTAATGTTTGATGTTTGCAGTGGTCTGCCTTGACACTGTTTGGTGCCCATCGTGAGATGCCGTGAGGAATACTCGGGATAGAACGTATTCTCAATGTGACCCCGCCGATAAACATATGTGGGGGATAGTTTCAACTTTATGTTTCCTGTATCACAATAGATTTGGTCCAAGAGCACCGCAGCCAATCAAGTGAATTAATGTTTCGGGAATGCACTCTTTCCCACTTACTAAACACGTTTACTGAATTTGGAGCACTGATTGTACTTACATTTGAAATAGCAGAGATACCTCATTTCATGTCAATTCAGGAAGAAAATACCTATAGGTATAGGCCTATGTCCTATAGGTATAGGCCTATGTCCTCTAAATTGACGGTTCATCTAAAAAGTTTCTCCTGTTTTCAGGAGGCCAATTTGAACTGTATAAGCTCTTTGCTGGCTTTTAAGCAGCACGTTTAACGTTTCCCACCGGGAACGTTTGTTGTATTATGTATGGCCATAAAGGTCCAGATGGAGTGATTAACGTGATGGGCAGGCAATATCTCCTCTTTATGTGCAAAGCTTTTTAGTTCACTCGCAAAGAACCCATGTTTTGTGACCGTTGGCAACTCAGCGAAAAGATATCGACGTGGAAATCTGTCTCAAGTTTTTACTACCTTTATTCTTGGCAATTGCACCCTGTAATTGAACATTAACTTTGCCCATGGCAGCGGGGCTGTCGTTTCAATTGCTTGACACCGGCCCCGCCTCCCCTTGCCTTCAGTCGTTGTTTGGTTGTTCTTCGGAGAGTCACGAATGCGGCAAATGTAACTGGCGGGAAAGAAGAAAATACCTGGCAGAGAAAGGGTCAAAATATGAAGCCGTGGAAGAAATTGCCGTTGAGTGGGGTTGGTACAGACAGTAGCGCGCGTGTCCTCCGAATAATGACGCCTTGCTTGCGGCGGTGGGAAGATGCGTTTCGGAAGACAAACGCACGAAGCGGGAGCAGGGGCAAAGCCCGGCCGCGGGTGGGGTGGGGGGCATGGTTCATATGAAGCATTTCAGGTTACTTTTACGCAGGGGCGTTTGCTGTACAAATTAATAACCACTTCACATAGAAGAGATTGAACTCTACCCAAAGGGCAGTACTTTTACTGAGCCCTCATGATGCTGCTCCCTGAGTGCGTTTGGTTAAAACCCCGTTTGTGCTTCAATTATTTTTCAATAACCTGAAACAGCATAGTGAAAGAGAAAAAAATTACTCAAATTAAAAGTAGCTTCGAAGGGGGAATGTTAATAAGACTTGCACCTATTACACTGTCATATAAAAAGCAAATACAACTCTTCATCTGAACACGAATCTCTGTCTGGAGATGGAACAATTATTAAAAATCGTTTTCTTGTCCCCATCGCTCTTAAAGGGCGTGGGGAAATACGACTCTTCCAGAATGCATGACATATGTATTTGGAGGGGCTTTGTACGTATATACGTATATGAAATTAATTGCCTAAAATGTGATCGGGAACATTTAGTGGGAAAACAAATTACAACATTAAACGGAGTAAGGATTATGAATTATTCGTTATCAGCGTAACACGCAGATAAAATTAATGGCGTAGACAGTAGAGTTTTAATATTCAAGATGCAAACAAAAGGGACAATCATGCGCGTTAAAATCGAGCCAGCTTTACCGGTCCGTTTAATTTATTAATTGTTAGGGAGGGGACCACTCAACACCTCCGCGGACTAGGACTAGGCAAGCCAGTTGTTTTCAATGCTTTGCGCGTCTGTGGTTGTACTGTGAAAGGAAATTTTGCCTTAAGGAGTGCCGAGTTGTGACTATGTATATAGTTTTATACATGTACATGTATATAGGTCATTAACTGATCTTCCAACGGGTCATCAGAGCAGTTTAATGCGTGCTGTGTGAGTAAAAAAATTAACGAATTAATGTAACGTGTATTTTCTAATTAATTTACTGAATTTTTTTCAAAACACCAAAGGGTAAAGAATTCCTGGATTAAACTATGTTCTCTGCGAGTTGAAAGGTCAACATAATTTTAAATATATATTTTGAATTTACTATTAAATTCCAAAAAAATGTAATGCTCTTACTGCTAGGGGGGACTCGTTGCTTCCCTTTTATTATTCTTGACTAGTAGGCCATTTTTTTCCAATTGGTATAGGAGCGATATTTTGGGTTTGACCAGTCGGCCATGAGGGTTTTCCGTCGAGGGGAGACACCTGTCAAGACCACCAGCTCATCAAGTGCCAAAGAAATGGGTAGGTATCTGTATTTGGAGAGGCTTTGTACGTATATACGTATTCATGTATAATATAGGGAACTTTTGAAAATGGAATTTGAAGCAGTCTCATGGCTCTTTGACATTTGGCACCACTAATAAGTGGCTGGTTAAGGTGTCGTGTCCGGGAAGCGTAAACAGAGATTGCACAAATATCATTATGTTTTTGAAGGTTGGTAATAGAATGGGCCTTATAACCTCCTGTATGCCAGCGATTTTATTTGATGTATGAAAGGTGACATCATTTTCCCTGTACAGCCACGCTCATTGTGTGTGCCATTCTGCGGCATACGACAGACAAACACACAAGCAAAAAAATTACCAGAATATGCGTACCGTGAAATTTTAGTGTTAGATTTTTGTGAGATTAATTACATCATCTACAGCCAGATTCCTCTTTCTTTTTTTCTTTTTCTATGTTTTATTGATCATAAAAACTCAAAACATACATTAGAAGGAAAAAGCACGAAATATACGCAATTAAGGAGATTGAGAAAACGTTAGATGAATGGAAAGTATAAAAGTAAAAACTTCTGAAAAAAAGTGGGGGCCATGAAAAGATGTAGAAAGATGGTCACTGTACATGTCCATTTGAAATAATTGCATAGGGTTTACATCATTAGAATTGAAATTTCCATTTTTTTATACTGAAGACTAAGGGGTTGATTTTTTATAGCAATCTTATATTCTATGTGATATTGATTTTGTAAAAATAGCCTTAACAGTCCTCTTTCTTTTCCATCTGTCCCTCGTTTTGGCACGAAAAGGGGGGCATTAAAATCTTCCTGTTGTCACGAAATGTGTAGCAGCGTTTATGGAGTTATTTAATTTTGTAGTCTTTGCACGGTGGACATGCAAGAGTAGCACACAGTACATCTTGTTTGTTACACCAAATACGTAAGAACTAAAGATTTCTGTCGCGTTTTGCTTTGCTATTTGTGAGCGTAGGCCTATATGTAATTTAATTTTGGGTTAACCGTATGGACTGATTCATCTGAGTTAGTTTGTATTGGAAGAAATTACCCCGTGTCAAACGTAGTTTGTTCAAATTATAGAAGCCCATCTAATTTTATGCGCTATACCGGCTTCATTGAAGGTTTACTGTGATTCCTTTTTATGTGTGATTGTTAACTTGCCATCTCGTGTTTCAATAAATCAGCCCGGGAGCAGACAAGAATGTGCAACTCATCTAGTACCGGTTGTAAATCTGAGAAAAAAATATCATATACGAAAAGCGCGTCATTTTCACGACAGCCTGCAGACGGATGGCTGCTAGTTGTGTTTACGCAGAGAAATTGCAAATTCAGTATCTTGCCTTTAATTTGCGCCAACTTTCCAAAGGAACTTGCAAATCGTCCAAATTTTTGCTTGTACCAAACGAGCGGACAGGAGCGGACAGTTCTTTGAATGCTGTGCACATAAAAGTCTTCCAGATAAGGTGGTTATTGTCGACAGTTTGTACGGCCCGGCTAACAACCGTGACCAGTCTTGTCAGCCACTGCCTCCTCCATTAGCTCCAGCCGCGATGCATAATGGCGAACACGGCCGGTGCTCTTCGTGCCAAACAGTCAGAAAACGCGACCAATTTGGAACTAATTGCGACCCATTTGTAGGAAACGATTATAACAAATGGGTCCCCCGACTCGCCCGCATTCACTGTCACCAATTCACTTACTGATTTTGGTGTCATGTCGACGTTGTGAAAATAGAGGAAGGAAGAGCCCCATTTATTGTGTGAAATCTTGCCAAAGCATGGACTCCATATAGACAAGCTGACCTTTGATAGCTATTACTTCAATGAGGTGTAATAACAGCCATCATTTTCTTCAACAAGGATGTGTCTGAGTCGTAAATGAGTTGAGCACTTCTCCCATTTTTTCAGTATGGAGTTTTAATGTATGTCAAACAAGACAGTGTTAGTAAAATGTGCTATTCGGTGGGCGTTTTAGCGTACAAGGAAAAGTTTAATAAAGTGCATTTTACAAAATGGACGTGGTCTGGTTCGCCCAACAAAGTCTGCTGAAATACGGTAGAAACAGATTCCTATAGGAAGAAGAAACAGACTAATGAAGGTGTATGAAACTGACTCAGACTTAATATAATACCGACAATAAAAGCGTGGGTTTAGATGTGAATACAGGTTACAGTCTGTCCTCTTGGTTCCTCTTTTTGCACTTTTTCTGCGCACACATATTTATTGCTATACTCTGGATCTTTCAAACTCCACAGAAGCATCTTTTTGTGGCAATTGTTTTTTTCCAATCGCTTTTCAAAAGTAAATGGTATACTTCCCTACCCGGCTATAATGCCAAAACGTCGATGAACCACACTGTTAACCCTCGAACTAAATTTTTATGGCTTCCCGAGTTCGAATAAACATGTTTATAAAAAAGTGGGGCAAAGGACAAAAACAAGAATGAAATATATCTGTTATGACAACGACACCTTTATAAACAATATGCAAACTGTAGAGCACTTGCGCAGATTAATCTAATGGTGTGCCGCCAATGTGACTGCTACCAATATTCTAAAAGGCACCTGACCATGAAAAATTCCCAACACGTTTATCCGTGGCATGCGACCGGACGCTCCATTAACTTACATGTATTTTGTGATGTAATTGTACGCTTAATTTACGGCATACGGGAGCGTTCGCTCTCTTCCAACAACGTAGTTTTCTGCTCCATTTATACCAATACGTTATTGGGAAAAGCTAGTGTTTTTGAGATGCACTGGACACGTCCAGAATCCGCACTCTCCAAGCAAGACGCGGGGGCACATCTATTGCGCATGCAGATCAAAAGTAATGCTCAAGGAAAACGTACTTTTAGGCTCGAAATTTGCCCACGTAGGCCCCCAAGTTTTATAGTAGAAATTTACCCTAATGTTATAAATACGAGCTTCTTACGTAAAACTGAATAAGACTGTTCAACGCCAAATTATTTCTCTGCAGAGTCACCTTTTTAGCACTCCCCAATTTTCACATTAGGTCACACTTTTTTTATCGAAGCCTTTTGACACAAGCAAAAATCACTGGAAGTCGAAGAAGTAAAAAAAGAAAAAACCTTTAACTTGAAAACTGACATTGAAAGATGAACATGATTTGAGGATGTTTGCGAGGCTGAAATCTGGAATAAGTTATGTTTACAGCCATTGAGTTAATGGTTCCCAAAGTAGCAATCACTTTATAGTTGAAATGATTGGTACAGGCAAATATTGACTAATAAGTTGAAAAACAATGATTAAAGTTTGTCAAAATATATAAGGAATAATGGTATGCTGCCATGCCGTCATAACGGTATCTTGGAAAAGGACGCATGCATGCAATTTACGGAAAAGTGTCCCAGTTCTCGTGGACCACGTTTTGCTTACTCCTTGTAACGCCAAACAAAAACAGACAACTTGGTCCATATGAACTGTGAGCACTTCGGGCCTGTTTGTTTCACACGAATCTGAATCGAGATCAGTGATCCCAAAGCTGGTTCGCGCTGTAATCCATTAGGTGGGCTCTAGTGTTAGTGAACCAGTGTCGGATCACTGATGGCCATCCGGATCCGCGTGAAACAAATAGGCTCCATTTGTCTCCCCTTACAGAGTGTCCTTATGACGTAATCAGCCAACCTGGCGAGTACTTTGTCCAATCATCTGAAAGAAAGATGTGCACGTGGCTCTTTCTGACCAGACCTAGTGCAGTGGTCGAACTGGAGATCATTGAGCATGATTATCCATGTGCCGAGGATTCGTTTGTTGAAGTAAGTGTTTATTTTTGGTTGGTTAGCTTTATCTTGCCTTATATCTGCCATTTAAAACATCTAAACACTCGAACGAAAGCGAGATCACATAGGAAATCGGAATGTAAATAAAAAAAAAAAAGAAGAAGAAGAAGAAAAGAAAAAAAAAAAGAAAAAAAACCCAACAACTTAGCCCTCCAGACATACATCATATAGCTCTGATTCGAATTTGGCAATCGTCAGTCATCTTTCTAATTGCAAATGTTTTCACGATAGACGAAGTTAAAAGATGCTTACTTTTTTAAGCACGATGTTGAACTTCAAAATACCTGAACTTCAAAGTTCAGAAAGAACGATTTTTCTGTTTAAAAACAAAATGTAACCAGTAGGCCTAGAGAGGTTTTCATTTCAGTCATTGTTTATTCATAGCGCCGAGCATGCATAATACCTATATTAAATTTAAATGTTGATATATCTCGACGGATCAATAAGTATATATATGAAAATATGTCAAACTCGACAGTTTTTACGACCAGGGTTTTAAAACTCACATGTGATGTAAAAAATTACGATTTGTACAAGATATCAACCAATTCTAAGTTTCCCTCAGCCTCCTTTACGGTGTTTATTTCTACAGTTCTTTGACGGGGTTGCACTCCAGATGGGCGTCTTCCCAACCGAAACCGGCCACGACTTGCCATTGCAGGAAAGAGTCAATTTGGTTTGCAGCACCGGCAGCCGTGTACTTCTGTCATCTCAGAACGTGGCCATGCTGACGTACCAAGCACCGCCCACCGGCGGGTCGTTCCGACTGCTTTTCAAGCACAAGACCCTCCAAGCACGTAAGTTAAAAAATAAAATTAGAAATTGCCTGACTTTCTGTTCACTTTTTTGTGGACATCGTGTCTCAATCACAAGTTATCTAAGAAACCTAATGTACACGATTGATCTAACTTGAATATCTAAGCATCCATGATTATATTTCTAATGAATTGGCTACATGTTCGCTGTGCTGTAACGTAAAAAGGTTATATGTTTTTCGTAATTGTCTCGAGCGTACCTAATTTTCTTCGAAACCCTACCCTTTCTAAAAAGTATACGAAGAAAAAATGTTTCTATGCCGAGTGTCATCCTCGTTTTTAATACTTGTGAAAAGCGTGCATGGCCTTCAACCCCTCCTCGAAGGTGTGGTTTATAGACTAATCTAAGGGTACGCGAGTGGCATCACACTCGCAAGCTCATTCTTCAGCTTGACGGGCGCGTGCGTTTTGGCAAATCACGACACCCTATTGGTCGAAGAGGCAAGCAACGCGCGTGTATCGCTTGTCCAAGAGCTTTGCGCCACTGCAGTAATGGCTTCTAATTCTGGTTGTCGAATTACACGTTATGCTCGTGAAAAATTAAAGAAAAAAGCTCTCGAATTCTTCTTTCTCGCTCACAAAATCAGCTTGCAAAGTTCTGTAGCTGAACGGTCGCTGGTGTTTTGTTTCCTCTGTTTGATTATCGCTACAGTGTTTGGGAGGAGAGTACATGTGGCACTTACCGTGTTGCCCTGCATGGATATAACTGAATATGTGAATAAATAACTGTAAATTTCCAGCTGAGCGTACCACACTTCACACCTATCCCAGTGTTAAATGAAGTGCGGAATTTGTTAATATCGACCCAGCGAATAATGCGTAGTCTGTAATGAAAAGAATATACCAACAGAGTGTGAAATTAAAGACACGGGCACAGCTCTGAGGGGAGACGGCTTAACAACACGCCAATATGAAGACTATGCTTATGCAAAAGACACGTTTTTCAATTACACGCACCCAGAATCAGTCAGATAATTTCTGACCAATTTCCCGTTAAAAGCATTCCCTGAGAGATTAACAAGTTTACACTGCGTTCAGCAAGACTTCACACTTTAATACAGCTGTAGTATTAATCGCCTCGATTTTCTGGTCCAGATCGATGAATTAGCAACCTAATGAGCTCTGAGCAGGAACGCTACTTTGACATTTAAATGTCAGGGCAGCACTGTGCTTCTGCCAGGCTTCGTGGAAGGTTCGAAACTTGCTCCGTCGGATTTGACTGGGTTCAACTGTCGTTTAGATTTAGTCAAGGTTTTCTGTAACAGAACAATTGAGAGGCAATAAAACAACGGGGTCACATCACCGAACTCAGTCAATACACCAACATGGACGGTCCACGAATATAGGGACAGAGTTTGACAAACCGGCATGTGTGTTTGTTTGTAGTGGGGGGAAAAGAGTAAAGAGTAGATTCAATTATTTACGATCAGGTATAGGATGGACTGATATTTGCTGAGCACTCAGCGTGGAGATATATCCAAACAGGGGGTATCAACAAAGGGTGAAATGCCGCATTCTTTGGTTTCCTTGTGGCTGAATTGAATTGACTGGTGCTGTAACGCATGTAATTTGTGAATTATTATGTGGAAAATACCGCCATAGTTCCGACCAAACACACTTTTCCATGTGTTTTGTTCTTCTCAAAAGATGCAATAACTAATTAGGTAACTACCAGTGAGTGGTCGAAAGCAGGTATAGTAGTGTGCACATCAACGTATGAAGTTTAACGGCACAAACTGTCCCTCAGGATGTACAAAAGGTCAACGGAAATACCGATGATGGCACAGCTAAAAGAGATCCAACATAAAACTTTGGCAAATCTTATCACAGTTTCTTCATCCATAAATAGGACAGATCGAACACCTCACAACCACACAGTGGTCTCCCTTACACGGTGATCGGATTTGGTCCGAGATCTTTAGTGGTCTTTAGCGAGGGACTGGACAATTTTTTAATGGCTTATAGGTCGGATTACAGTACTCCTTGCAGGGTGGTTGCCTACGAATTGGATAGCTGGACGGTTAAACTTCTTTTTGAGCGTATATAGGTTAACCACCGGGGAGTGAGTACCCATTTTCCGGTTTTGATTTGACTGGATTATCGCTGTGCACTTTGCACCGTTCTTGCGTGTCATAATACACGCCGAAGCTACAGAACAAATGGTCCACCGCAACTTGGGTTCCAACTGAATAGCGGCCTGAGGTCACCGCGTTGGACTAACCCTGTCTTCTCCGGCCTGTTTCCAGCTTGCAACATCTTTGGTACGGAGTCGTCGGGCGCCTTCACGCTCGGCAACTTTGGCAAGGAGAAGAACTGCTCCTTCGTTGCTATCTACCCAGGCTACATTAACGTCCTGCACATGGCAGTGGGAAGGGAAACCAATGAAGCTAGGCTGAAGGTAAGACAGTAAAATAGAGCTGATCTTGTAATTTTGGAGCACAGAAGAAAGCCATCAACGTCCTCTGACCATGCGCGAAAGAGTTGAAAGGATTGTGCATTATTTCTGAAAAGAAATTAACGACATTTTTTAAAAACAATTTGATATTAATTTAATGTACATTAACGTACACTTACTGACTAAAATGGTAGGTGGAATGAAATACGAGTTTCTGTTACAATAATATTTATAATTATTCATTCTTAACATTTCATTTGTGTTAATTACATTTTGGCCATCTTGTAAACACAACTGAGAATTTCCGGTGCTACCGTAAAGGTTTGATAATTTGTTTGATAATTTGTTTGTCACAATGTGACACTTGTCAATTATGCATTGCAAGACTGTGCTAGAGTTCTCACGGCAAGAATCTTTTGCAGGCTCATGATATGTTTACTAGTTACCACCGCAAATGAATATTAAAGCGACCGTCGGTTAGTGTTGCTTACAAATTACAAGGGCCTTTTAGTCTTTTATACATCCGTATTCCGTCAGGGGAACTCTCTCTCCATGGGGTGGAAAAACCCCCACTTTCTCTGCCCTAAGTTTAAACAGTGTTCCTTGCTTACCGGTAACAGTGCAAGAGCATAAGCGACACGGTGCAGTTTGCGGAGGGAAACTCCTTGGAGTTTGGCAAGATGAACGTGGAGCAGCGGATGTGCGGTCGCACCGGTGGGAAGGCGCCCGCGACCCCCGACGTGGCCGACCCATCCCCCGAGGACCCGCTCCACGGACGGGCTGGAACAGCAGCCTCCCTGGTCTACCAAAACAGGGCCCAGTGCACATCAGGTACATGTCTCGGTGCAGATAGTTTTGACATTGTGCTGGCCATTATTAAAGATAATGACAGGGAGTCAGGTTGGCAAGGTAGTTCTTTCCTCGTCTTCCACCTCTGTGGTCCCGGGTTTGATTCCTGGCCCGGTCTAAATGTGCATAGGGTTTTCAGTCCCTACCTGACTCCGTGGGTTTTACCCAGAATATACCTCTGGGGTTTTCCTCCCACCTCTAAAACTGTAACTGCTTCTTACTGTCTCCTCTTTACTGATGTTTGTGAATGTGGGTCGTTTGGCGGCTGCCCGAGGCGCCCTTGTATGTCATCGGCTCAACCATGTTTAAATGTATTCATTGTTCTACGCTTAATGTCTTCATTGTACAGCGCATTTGAACATATATCTACATGAAATTTGCGCTTTATAAATGAATAAATTATTATTAATTATTATAATGTGAATAAGTTATAGCACACATGTGAATGAGTGGGGCTCTGAAGAGAACAGACGGATTTACGTTTGGGACAGTAGGCCTATACTCTATCCGTATAGTCAGAAGACTGTTCCAACGTTATGCTCCTATCCATATCACGATGCGTGGAAGAAACGTATTGTGATCCACTTCACGATCTCGAAAATTGTTATCATATTGAGTCATCTTTAAAAAGAACAGATCGTTTTGTCTCATCGCAAAAACAAAACAATTTTGACAGAATGGCAAGATTGCTCACGGTTTTCAGTGCATGGTTTCTTTTATGATACAAGGTCTTCATTTCCTTTCCATCAAAGCGGTACACCAAAGTGACACCGAGGCTTCCCTTCCCGACAAACCAAGCTGTTAAATCGGCATCCTCCACGTCAGTGCTTTTGCACTCGTTAACTGCACACCGAAACGTCATTTTAGCTGTCTAGCTTCACTTTCCTTGTTTGACATAAGTTCTCAAGGCTGCAAGGCAGTGGGAAGAACTGCACTAATAAAAGTGTGCAGACGCTCAACCAAGCACAAAAAACATTTTGATTTGACATTGTGCATTTTGATTTTTCTCTGTCTAACATACCAGTCATGTATTTTTTTGCCGTTACTTTGCAAGTGAACGCGCATTAATCATGATATCATGTTTGATATCATGGTTTCTCGACATGACCACTTGATCCGACTTCCCCCTGCTGTTGGAAAACGAGGCTTTTAAGGCAAATTGCCATCATACCCCTGAATTATATATAGAAGCTTCAGCACGCATATTTATGTTGAGTTGCGATAGGCTAAAAGAAAAGGAAAAAGGAGCATGCCGTCGAGCTAGCTTGCGCACGGTAGTGGGTTAGTGTTGAGGACGTCCGTGGTTTGAATCCCGTTTTTCTGTTTTTTTTCCAGGTTAAACTTTTCCCCGTTGGATAAATTTGAAGCGTTGTTTAACTCCCTGCCTAAATTGGTAGCCTTACTTTGTTCTATTCAAGGGAAAGAAAGACAACAGCTTCAATTATTAGCGTGGCAAGCACATAACATAATATAACATATACCTGCCGCTTTCCGAATACTCACTTTTGCTGTAAAAACCTCGTGTATTGGGGCGATGGGTAGTCGAATTGGGTAACACTGCAATTTAAAATAAAAGCTGTCCTTACGGTGGGCTTTCAAAGTAATCCAAATGAAGATTGGCCAGTCTTTTATCCTTGATGCGATTAACGTAGGCTACAGTTATTACTGTATATGCGTCGAAATTTTGTTCCAAAGTACACAGGAGCAATGCCCTAGGGGTCAATGTATCTTTAGGCTATAAACATTACATAAACTTCTAAGGCTGACTGGATGCGGAACAACTGCGGTGAGGCAGTCAGGCACAACCCCAGCGAATCATAGAAATCGCTTCTAATAGTCAGTCCTTAAAATTCACGCTTTGGGTTTGTCTTAGAGAAGTAAACGGGAGATGCATTCGGTTTGGGCTATTAACAAATGGCACCATAGAGGTCTCAGAATGTCGCCGATGGTAAACCTTAATTGGCCAATCACCATGCCAGTCAATAATTCTGCTTGTTATTTTCGAGGCAAATGGCCGACAGTAAGACAAATTTAGCCCGGGGCATGCATAGGATTATTAGATCAAAGCAGCTGAAGGTTCCAAGCATTTCCCGCTGTATAGGGTCAGGGATGGGCGACTTACAAGATGCAGCTAATCCGTGTAAACGCTGCTGTGCCCTTCTAAAAACGAAGGCGCTACCTCATTCGAATTCGGTTCCGTTTCACCTGCTCGCTTTGTACGGTCACAACCCTCTGATTACGTTAAGACGATTGCGTTTGAGGCTTGATTGTTCCCCGAGATTGCAGACATGCGTCTGCCTCATCTGGGCTTTCTGTTCTGAGGAAATTGTGCCGGCTGACACGTACAGGATTGTGAGAATCAAGTGCTCCCCTGTTTTGTGTGTGTGTGTTTGGTGAGGATCCACTTCAGTCCTGCAAGTGTTAGTTAGGCTTTTGTGTACACAAAGAAAATTGGTTTTTGTTCCTGAAGCTTTACTTGCAGAAGCTTTATGAGAGCTCTGGTGGCAATCAGTCATCGGCCGAAATATGCAACCAGAACGGCATCCAATGTTGGAAAATACACAGTGTCTATCCCCCGACGCGGTTGAGGGAAAAACTATGATCATAGTGCAACCCAGGGCACTAGGGATTTACTCAGGGAACTGCGTTGCAACAAGCTTGATCGACGCAATTCCTTTAAGTGTGAATGGAGTCCCTCTTAATTCGACCCGTCCAGGTTCAAAAATAATACAAAAATTGTCTGACAACTGGTCGCCTCGAGCAAAGTGGTTTGAAGGGCCCATGCCGTAACAACGGCACCGATCACGTCAACAGAAGCTTTGCATTATGCAAGTGCGCTTCTTAATGGCGCGATTTCACTTCTCGTTGTCCAGCGGTTGCCATTTTTACTGTCAAATTTGCATTTCTGCAATTTGATGATGCAGCTGTGCCACGCAAGGCTGACTCGCCGCACCCAATCAGTTAATCAAATATGCGCAGGTAATATGCGCGAGCGAATCAGACAGCTGAAATGGAAAATCGGAGACGTCAACATCCTCATTTCGATCGGATCTCAAGGGGGGTAGGGCCCATATGAACACACGGAACTTTTCTATCCAATACCAACTTAGTGTCCAAAATGATCAGATACCATTGTACCGTTACTTCCCCGGATTCGCATTGTAATTGTCCTAAAATGATTGGACGATTCCCTTTATTTCTTGCTCGGTTTTCCCGATAAACATAAACAGGACCAGCGCGCGCCGTCGGTCTGTCAGAGTTTGTGAATCGCATGTAGAATGTTTCTTCCGTTGACATTGGTCTACTCTTTCTTACGGCATAGACATAGTCAAGAGTAGGCCTATAGGGATTTGGAAGAGATCTTTTCGAATTTCTCATTGTGAACACCGCGATCTCATTTTTTTCTTCAGTTTATTCAAATGCGTGCATACTGACCGACTAATTTGGGTAGGCCCTACATTTTTAAGTCTCCGGTCGCATAATTACTTTGACTTGTATGGGGCACAATGTTGAAAAACTCGCCGAATTTGTTGTCAATCCTTCAATCCTTTCCCAACTTTTTTTTCCAAATTTGGGAGGAGAGGGAAACTCATTAAAGTTAGTCTTCCTCAGTCCTTGGATGAGACGAAGTACATTGAAGAGAGCAAAATAATCTACCACACTTCTTCTCGTGTGCCAGTGATTAGCCAGTTCTGATTATTAACTTGCTCCATAGCAAAACTTCGGACTCTCAAAACGTGCAATATTTCTTCTATTACAGGCATCACCATACCACTCATGTGTCAGATGTCCGTGGTTAGGCTGGTATCCAGCGGGCAGTATGACAACAAAATCACCTTCACGTTTACGCGGGAGACCAACGAGAAGAATGAGTGCGCTATGTTTTAGACAGTCGTAAGTTGTCAGGTGAGCTGGAGTTCAGCTTATTTTAATAACTTGATTAGCTTTTATTTATCATTAAATCAACTAATTGTTTTTTTTAATCAAATGCTTATTTTAAGAGCAAACCTGTAAAGTTCTGTAGACGGATTCCAGAGGAATTGTTTTTGCGCTATATGATAAGTTTGAAGGAAATACCTGCTGAATCGCCATAAATAATTTATACTTCCAACATTGGATTAATTTTCGCTCCAGGTTGAGGTTCCTATGTTTAATGCAATCCATGCTCTAGCCTTTTCCACCCAAAATCAACCGATTGTAAATTGATTAAATAATTGGTTGTCGTTACAGCAACGCCCTTCCGTTTTTCCCGAGAATCACACTTTATTTGGGGAAGCGAGAAAAAAGCCCCCATAACGATCGACTCAAAATTATATATACATACAACGGGGTAGGAAACGCTAGGTTCTTGTCCATGAAATATTTGGGGCATAATTTCAAGGTAACGAGTATATTTTTGAAATTTGCTAAATTTAAAATGTTTAACCTAAGTGCTCGCATGCGCGGAGGAATAATTTGATAAGTAGTTGGTGGAATCTAATCAAATATCCGAAAGATGAAATTGAAATAGTTTGAAGGATAGTATACCGTCGTCCCTGACATTTCTCGGGCAGCGGGATGAAAGGGGCCGTTGTCCTAGGTGGTTTGGATTGAAAAAGCAATCAGTAGGCCAGCGACTTACCCAAAAAATAATCGGCAAGGATGCAGTACGAAATACAACAAGGGCCCAAGGATTCATTAGGTTAACGCTTCTGTATCAATTGTAAGGCTCGCGGATAACTCTGTCGTAATATGCAATCAGAAGACGACGTTCATAAAAGCAACAATATGATTGCAGCTGAAAGACAGACGGGTACCGCTTTCCACATTGGCCGTTCTGTCCCTCGAGCGGGCCCGGTGTAGGTAGCCGTGATCCGCGCCGAATTTACGCCATCAGGGAGCTAATCGAGGGACGAGCTTGATTTCTGGCGATGTGCGCGCTGTTATTTCAGCCCCCGGTACCTTCAGAGCGATTGCTGTCTCCAGAGGAGACGTGTAACTCAGTTACAAACTTGTGCTGATTGTCATTTCCGTCCTTATTGCAAGAATCCCGCTTCCTGATTGTGACGGGAGCGTATATTCCCAGGCGCACCTCTCGTTTCTGTGGGCTTGCGATTTCTCCGCGAGTGGGAATGATACTTTCAGCGGTCTATGAACTGAGGCGCTCGGTACTACTACTCGCTTCGCGATTCTCTTCAAACGGGATCGATACTGGGCCACTGGAGAGATTCATGCCTCCGATGGAATGATCATCACAGTATTCGTGACGAGTAATCGAATTTCTTGCGTCTTTTTATTCTCCAGTTTCCTCAGCTCATTGATGAAAACTTACCCGGCTGCACACCAAGCGTCCATCCCATGGGAATCGTTGACTGTTCCCTGCTCCACCTTAGACTGTCGTTGCTTATGGAACAAAACATTTCAAGGCACATAATGTTCATTTTAATTCAAGGGGATCAGCACATTTTCTATCGCATTGTCAAGAATAATAAATACATAAACCCTCATTTTAATAAAACCACAAGTGACATTGATAAAGTCGTGCGACAAATAGGGTACATACATTCCCAGTGTATTTTATGAGGAAATTGGGTCCTTTCAATTTGAAATCCATAAGTTCCAAAGGCCTACACCTATTTGTATAAAATTGAACAAGAAATTGAATACGCTTCCTGCATGCGTAAAAACACTGTTATATTGATAGGCCTATGCCACTATATCACTAAGCATAGATAAAGCATTATACTGCTCAATTACACTCGGTGTTATTGTATTACAGTGACCGTACCAAGGAATGGTTTAAACTTGCTTTTCAGGTGTAGAATTTTACATATAAATTAAGATTTATTTTTCAAAGGAGAAAAAATATGCTGTAAATAATATGAAACCTCAATAAAAGTATGGGAGTACACGAAGTTAACAAAAACTCTGAATATAATCCGTGCGAAGTGAATTTACAAACGAAAGCCACTCGCCATTAATGATGCCGCGGCAGGAAAGAATACACGCGGCTGTGGAATTCACTTTAGCTGGTGGCTGCGGCTACGACTTGTGTTGCCTGCTGCATCCAGCTAGTGGATTCAGATATGGCCTTCACCTTAGATTTTCAAGTATTGAATTAGTGAAATTAGCGTCATTCATAAGTAGAGACACGAAGTTATGCCGTCCTTTAAGAAAAGCTTATCTGAAACTTTGTATCTACACGGTGAAACTGGAAATTTTAAAAATGGTTTCCTTCTCTTTCACAAACTCCGTGGAGCAACAGCAAATGAGGCTGGACGCACACTAGCGCGTGTGCGTAGCTCTATGTGCAGTGGGCGTGGTTTAAACTGCAGTGACGTCACACTGACAAACTGGACAGCGTGAGTAATTAATCTAATGTGCACTATTAACACGAAACCACAACACCTACCTGTGGGTGCATGGCGACAAATAGCGTTCAGGTGTCTGCCACTCTCAACGAGGTGTTGCTCTACATGGGGTCCCCGGAAACCTGAAGAAAATCAAGCCCAATAGTGGACCTCGCCTCAGCTGATAGTCCTTTTAGCTAGGATATTACCACAAGAATAAAAATATCTTTATTAATTAGCGGCAGTCAAATATCAACATTTGAAAAGCTCCACTTAGGTTTGTCCGTCATTAAACGTTTGAAACCAGCCTGAAGGCAGTCTAGCATTTTCGCTGATAATGTAGGCTTATTTAATGTGACCAGTATACTTTATAGAAGTGATTATCTTTCTCTTTGTCTTGTGCAGAAATTTCACCACGTCTTTGCAACGTCATCTTTCTCTGTTTTCTTGAAAAGCAAGGGTTAATAAAAAATTGCAACACAAAATTTAAACCGCTGGTTTTCAGCATGTTTGCGGTGGCAGATCCAGGTGTTGGGGAATGATGGGGCTCTGCCCCTTCCCCTCCTCAAAAAGAGTTTTTTTCAGTGTGAGAAGAAGGACGAGTTCTTGGTTCGTTTCACTTCCTTTCCTCCCCAGGGTGTGTAAGTCACTCCAAAATTTTGTCTTACACCTCAGTCAGACCGTAAAATGACATGAAGAAAATGTCAATTTTTGTCCCCCCTTAATGTCCCCGCCTCGAAAATTTGCTTTTTTTTTATTCCCCCTCGGAAGAACATATATGTCATTTGTTTTTTTAAACGTGGGCGCTTGTTTGCTTCATCTGACCTGATGTCGGTTATTTACTGCATGCGAGACATCTTAGGAAGACGTGTCAATTTAGTATGGCTACTTCGCTTGCAATATCGAGTATACACCGGTAATGATTAGTGGCACCCGACAGTACTGTTCACACTGATTGACAGCTGCAAACAGGAATGCATTATAACTCTAACTGAAATGTTTCATTTTTTTTGTCTACTTGAATCCAATCAGTTATTTTTCATGTTATCAGTCGTAAAGGATTTTCCATGTATCTGTAGCTCCATAGTCAAGTGAAATTTTACACATTATTACAAATGCCAATAACACCATGATTTCCGCACAAACGTCACATTCGGAAGTAACTGAGACTGCGGCAATATTCTGTCTTGAAAGGTGGATTTCTTATTTGATGCAAGAAAAACCCAACACTCTCTCAAATAAAAGCCGGATGGAATATTGTTTAATCACCCCCTTGAACCACTGCTTGTAACAAAAGACATCTTTCCATTTTCACTAATAATCCCTTTCAAGGGACGAGTATTAAGTCGCTCAAAGTGTTAATGTTGATATGATACTTATATGCAGTGTAGCAATACGCTTAAGATGAAGACGCACCTCTACATAAAAACGCAACCTTTGCAGGAAGTGCCTACCTGAGCAATTGCTCTTGCTCTGTGCACATTATACTTAGATAAACCGTTGTTGTGTTGTTGCCAGATATTGCAACGTCATCGTAAAGTTTTTGATGACATACGGTATCCTCAATTTTTATAGTCAGAAAATGAACGAATGTTGCACCCTGTAAATGGGCTGGAACACCGGTAGTAATTTAAAGAAGAATTTTTTGGGAAAAAATGTTGCTCATCGGCTGCAAACTGAAGTGACACTGAAAGCTGAATTTTGAGGTCGTGCAAAGAACTTGATTAGTAAAGGCATGTTCATTTATTCTTTGATCTCTGTCAAGGGACATTTAACAGTGGCACCCCTTTAACAGTTTAAGGAAGCTAAATGTTAGAGACATGCACTGTAAAAATACTTGGCTTTTTTTTCCTGCCCAACGGGAGGTACCAGTTGAATCGCCGAACTCTTGGACACGCTGGTTTATTTTCTCCTGATAAGTGGCCAACCTTGTCTCATTTTACCCAACGGTTGTAGAAAATTTAAATTGTACCATATCACTTTTTGATACAGGGTTATAATCTTTTTGCCCAACAGTTAAGCGATTCACCTGGTACTTTGGACAAAAAGCGTTTTAAAGTGCGATTGGGGAATAGATCTCTGAATCATTATGGCCGAGGCTTTGATATATCATCCGACATGGATGGCGTACAAAGAACAACTTGTTGGAGGGTTGTTCGTTCCAAATCCAATTTGATACATATCTTTTTAAGTTCTTTAAAACAGCAAACCACCGCCAAATTTCCACGACGAATCCGCCAGTTGCCGTGACAATGAATAATGATCTCTTAAAACTTTGCACTTTGTGGAGATATTACAACAGTAGGCTGGAAAAGAAAGACTAAATATTTCAGTCGGACATGAGATGCTGAACACATTACCGAAGCTGACACTTGGTTGAATGATGCTCGACAGCAAAACTCAGAGAGAGAGAGTGCCGAGCCACGGTCGACGGTGATTTTTACTACTGACGAGCGTCAGGCAACAATCGCCAAGGGATGATCTTGACCTAAAATAATCATGTCAGGATTTCTTTGGTGGAGTTGGAGCTCGGCAAATGTCATCGCTAACGAGGGAAGCCAAGAGAGTCTCGAGAATTGAAGTCAATCAAACCAGTATTCCCTGACGTCCGAGCGGTTCGCGTGCAGGACGACACATCTCCCTGTCAACCCGCCTGTTGTTACACCTGTATTCTCGGCGAAGTGGGGCCACCCGTGCACCGGTGCCGGCCATAAAAATATTTGGTTATTCATTTGCAACGGTCTGCAGAAGATGATTGGGACATGTAGTCCCACGATGCTGAAGGTTCCATCGCTTGTGCAAATAAAGATATCGCTGAGACAATGAAAAACACGGAAGCATCTTTACGGTTCTGGCTGGGAACTGACACAGCAGAGAAAATATGGCTTGCTGCGCCTCATCGCTTGGGCTATGCGTACGCGACAGCTGGGTCATCCTATGAAATGCAACCGGTTACGGTAACTCAGGAAAATGTGCAGTCACCTTTTCCAGCTTAAAAAAAAGTATACTCTGGTGACACGTCCAGGTGTAACAAGCGTGTCCTGGTTTGCCGAGTGAGGGGCTACCTCGCCCCCCTTCAAAACGTTCTCAGCAACATTTTATTTTATATCAGGTTTTTTATTTTTTGTTTTTTTTCTTTCACACAATGTTGGAAACAAAACAATCTACCTCACTTAATTATTATAAATATTTCCAACTGCCATCACATCAGTGCATGGGTTTCGGAATGCTGGCACGCGCCGCATCATGAATGAAAGGCTAGGCTGCGCGATCTTAGCTCGCACGTGTAAAAGGTTACATTTACACGACAGCGTTTGATTAGCTATCGTCTGATAATACGCGTCTGATATGGGTGTAAGCCACGAGAGCTCTTTGCGGGCTGCCCTCAATAGAAGTATGTACAATGGAGGTAGCAAAAACGGAATAACGAGTCATGCATAATAAACTGACATTAAATTTGTCAGCATTTTCACGAAGGGATGGTTATTTAAAAAATGACAATTTTTCGAGTTCGCTTTTTAGTCTATTCATTATACCCTACACGCTGTGTCCATACGGCCCTCGAATCCTGCCACTTGAAGCATTCTTTTGTAAAATATCTAAACATCATCGATTAAAAGAGGTCCTTCGTGGGGCCGTCGGGAATCTTGATAAGAAAGGACGGGTTCTCCCTACCCTTTTGAGGAAGCTTGCTGGGTGTGATCATGGAGCTTTCAAACACAAGGAGTTAGAACGAAGTCCTGTAGGGTGCACCACTAAAAATAAATTCCCATAGACAGCAGTGATAAATCCCCATATCTCACAAATATTTTAAAAATACTCAAAACTCTCCAGGGTGTTCAGGCTGCACAGAAAAATGATGTTCCACATCACGTCCTCTTTCATTTTCCTTTCAATTTCTGGGGGGTTGACCAATGAATTTTTGAGAAATTTTCACCAGAAGCAGACCACCTCTAAAAAGCAGAAAATTTCCCTGTCAAGAAAAGTAGCCATTTTGAAAAACCCTCCCTCGGCAAAATGGCTCAAATAGTGTCAATTTCAAACTAGATTGCATCCAAATTGCTCAGAATTGGAAGCCTTGAGTCCGGCCTAGAGGTTCAGTCTCATATTTCTTCAATTCCTCAGTTCCGTGCCTCTCAGGACCCTCTATTATAGAATATTTTGAGTGTACAACTTTTATTAATGAACTCGGCGGACCTATTGTGCACCCTACAGATCGTAATCCGATTAACCGCTCCGATCGGCTCCATAGACAAGGCGCGGGTACCAGCCCCATTGTTGAAGACCCTAGACATTCTCTGTACACAGTGATCGCCAACGCCAGGTAGTTGGTAACCCACAGACTCGCCGTGTTTCGCTGCGGCATACTGGAGTAAACAAATGGTGGAAAAGATGCACGAAAAAGATGCGCAGTTCTTTTCAGTAGCCGTCAGGAGACAGCGAATGATCTCCGCATATGCGCTCGAAAATTCCAAATCAGCGGTGGTTATTTGGCAAAAGTCGGACGTTTTTAAAGTCAGTTATGACATTTTGCGTTTCCGGCGGTAGAGAACAAATACCCAAAATATGAACTGCGATATTTATATCATGAGTCGAAGTGGTCCTTCTACGGTTAAAAGAAGGTGGGAACATGCTGCAGGAATGCATTTGACAATGTGGTGAGGTTTTATGCCAAGACAGTTGTGCACAGTGACAGAAAGGACAACGAATCTTCCCATGTTTTCGTGTGTTTTTTATTTTTCTGGACCAGCTACATTCTCTCAGTTTTCTTGTGCGTATTTTTTGGAGAATTTGTATTAGTTAGTAATTCTGTTTACTGTTAAGAGAGACGTTTTGGGGATGTAAAGACGTAACCAGACTTTCATTATCATTGGAATATCAGAACAATCACTAAAATTATCGAAATTTACGTCTCCGATGACGATGGTTTCCATGTGGAATTGTTACGGACACGCATACGCGGTACCAACGCTCCTTTGCCTGCAAGCGGCGCGGAATTCGCTTTGTCCTTACAGCACGTGCAGTGCTGACGATGGCCATCATTGACCCTTTTGATCTCTGAGCTCTGTATGTGCTGACTCATTTAATAGCTCCGGGGTGTGATCGAGACGTGGTCCACACTGTATAATTCCGTCAACAGCTTCGCGCTACCACCATTTCTATTGAAAAAGAGGGAACACACAAGAACGCCCGAGTTCGTTCGTGTTCGTCCATGCGCATGGATGCAGCTGAATGTACCGGCGGTAATGCAGTCGAGCACTTTTTGAGAACCAAGTTCTCTACCAAATATTCAACTAGTTAGGAGGGAACAAAGCTGAAGTACATCAGCATTTGAAGGTACATGCATAAAGGTAAGATTTCAAAGCAACATAATGACTCTAGACCATCACTGTTGATTAAAATTAACTTTTTAGGTCAAAAGTACTCGGAAAGTACTTGGCCGTGTACTTTCCGAGTACTTTTCTCCTTAAAACTTGAATTTTACACAACTGGGAGTGTCTGAAGTCTAACATTTATTTTGTAATCTTACCTTTGCATATTTACCATCAAATGCCTGTGCACTCTGGCTTTATTCCCTCTTACCAAGTTCAGACTGTCGCATTGATTTGCAGCATTCGTATTTCCGTAGCGTATATTTTGTGACAGTTATTAGCCACAGGTAATGGGTATATACAAGCAAACAGGGTTAAGCGAGAAATATATTTTACAGTCGTAGTGAGGAGATTAGAATGAGTGGGCAGGGATGGAAAGAAAGTTTGCGCTGAGACTTACTTCACAATCCACCCACATATAGGTCGAACCCACGCTGTATTGACAAAGCTTCTTGTAACCCTTGAACAAGCTGAGCAGAGTTATTATGCTGAAATTAAGTTCGAGTAGGCCTTCATCTATACTGGCTTTATGGTTTGTTGAGGCACGGTGTTGGAGAGAGGATCCCAGACTCTCCCCTGTCAAGCCCATTGTAACAATGGAGTTGCGATTATATACGATGCACCGTCAACGGTTATGCGAAATTCGATGGCTTATAGTCACTATTTCAGTATTTAACCGCTTTGCCCGATTTCAATTTTAAATGCAAACTAAAGTTGAGGTCATAAACTTTAAGTAGGCCGAAAACTGCTTGCGTGGGCCAAATCGCAATTTATATGCACCAAAATTTTCTACGAAAAAGAGCATTTTGTGCCCCATGAACTTCAAGATTTGTAGGAAAGGCAGGTTTAGGCCGTCAAAGAGAATACCAGCTTGCGTCTGAGTGAGATTTGTAAGAAATTGGTGCCTGAAAACGGCATATTTTTCGAGAAGTGTAGGCATCGATATGTCAAAATGGCAAGGGGCATCACGACTGCATTTTTAGGGGTGGCCTTCTGTGGAAATAAATATCTCCAAAAGTCATCGGTTAATGAGTGGAAATTTGAAAAGAAAATTCAAAAATCATAAACTGGGCTTTAATTTGATGTACTTCTCGAACGCGTAGGAAACTCGTGAGTATTTTCCCTGATTTTTTGAAGTTCATGTATTTATCATTGTTTGCTATGGCAGTTTATTTACAGGCCTGCAATCTGAAACAGCGACTTTTGTTGCCCACACCCTCAATTCAATCGACTTTGGCAGAGATAGGCTCTAATTTATACAGTGCACGTATCTGTCAGATCATGATACGTGTAACTCTAAGTTCCTTTTCAATTATGATCTCCCCATTAAGTATGTCTTTTCCCATACCTTGCAATTTATATCTGTAAAGCTATACTGCGCACACTCAGGATTAGTTCAGTTTTCAAATCTTTATGTTTCATAATATCATCACGTTTAATGACATCTTTATTTCATAGGAGCGTATTCTCTCTAGGTTCTGACACGCCATGTTTACATGCAACCAAGGCCACTCTGTTTTACAAGACTTGGAGTACTTTGTGGATGTGAGATATTTCATGGTCCGTGATCGAATACATTGGTTGCCAGGCGCCACACAAAGAAATCAATGGCGACGTGTATACACATTACACACTCTAATGGGACAGCTAACCATACAGTGTCAGTTAAGTTGGGCTTAGGAAGTCAACTCCCTTCGAGATGCGTGTTTAGAGGATTGGACTTTCACCAGTAAAAGCATAAAAAGCGATTTGCTCGTTAAAATCAGAAAAATTATGTCATCTCTGATGGCTCAGCCTGCAGACGGTAAGGCCTCCAAGTCTAGGCCCAGCACCTGCGCTTCAAGTAACTCCCACGAAACGTGGATGACTCCGAGAGGCAACACTCGTATGGGTAAAGGGGTGGTGGTGTTTACAGGTGAGCAGACACTCAGTCTAGGACTTTGAGTACAGGGGAGGAAGAAGGGAAAGACACGGGAATTGACGCCACGAGAAATATAAAAAGAGGTTTGAACGGTCTTTGTAATAATGTGCATGCGGCTTACCTCCTGTAGCAATATAAAGCGAATGCTGCAAAAGATTATCATTTCAGAGCTTCGTAACACGCACAAACCAAAGCCTGTCAATGTTGGTAAGGTTTCCGTGTGTCTCACTGACAGATTTTTATCCAGCAGCTTATCCAGCTTTTGGTGGGGGGAGGGGGCAAATTCAAAAGCTCATTCAACACGATGGTGGGGAGAAAGAATATCACAAGCCTTACTCACTTTCCCAACATCCTCACTTTGATGTCGCGCTGTTGTTTTGTTAGGGTTTTAGTACTAACGTTTGATAAATAAATATTATCAATACTTTATTTGGAAAAATCCGTCAGGGGCAAGTTTCCCCCCCCCACGCTGGATACGCCACTGATTTTATCAAATATTGCGAAAAGATAACAAATCCTATACTGGCAAGTTACGGGTACACAAAGTCCTCTCAATGTACAGCAATGCAAATATTGAGTTTCTGTGTTACACTCAAGTTGAACTCACTAGTCGATGCAGACATACTGGATAGTAATCCCACTTCAGAGAGAGCAGATAATTCGGTACTTTACTTGATGACAGGTTAACCCACTGATTTTATGTACGTCCATTCCCATTTCATATCAAGGCGATTCACAAGAACAAATCAAAACTCAGCAACCGTTGTCTCTAACGGTCCTCAATCCTGTGATTTCAATATGATTTTATATACAGAGGGTTAGGGTTAAGATGATGCCAGTTTCGCAAAGAAATCACCTTTTTTCATGATGACAACAATATATTTCTGCCAGTAACCTTCTTAGCCAAGCATGAAAATGTTTCGCGCTCATCAATGATGTTGCACGTTTGGCGGCAATAAAATCGGCTCCCGGAAGCATTATTCCGTACACTTGGTAGCCCGATATGAGCAATCACTCCCCCAAGTCATCAATGCCCGCTTCTCCCTTGCCCACTTCAACCACCGCTCGCCCAATAATCCAACGAGACTGGATGCAAGCCATCATCCTGCACTATCGTGTGTAAACGTGTTGCCAGCGATCAAGGAATGCGGATCAATTTCTTCGAGTGTTGCAGTATGCCTGGTGGACGTTGTAATGACGATTGCTTTTGAACCGACATCACAAGGCCCGCCTGTGGTAATTCTTTCCGGTGTTGTGCCTGAGTCAACACATCGTATTGACATTACTGAAAACGACATTAAACTCTTTGTGCCGCTTCTCGTTCATTTAGTTTTGGATGGCCGAGTTCGGCATTTTTCAAACAAACGTTTACCAGTTACCAGTTTCAGAACAAATTTCCCAATTGATGCCACAGGGGTGTTAGACGGGGATTAGCTTCCAAATGGGCAAATTAGTCATTAAAACAAGGCCTCGTTTCTGATTTTGTCCGACTGGTATTGTAGCTATACATGTACCTGTATAATGACGCAATCTGCACTCATCAGTGACATGCTGGAGGTCCATGTCTGATCTAGGAATTTCGTTAATTTAGGGACAACTTCAATCAATGGAATGGAAATTGGAAACCTCCCAAAACTCAAAATATCCAGGCCCTAATATCTTCCTCTAAAGGCTGATTTTTTTCTTATTGTTATTTCTTTTTATTATTTTATATTTTTTAAACGTATTATTTTTTTCTAAAATAAGACAGTTACGAACACTTTATTAATTTTTTAAAACTTATTTTTGGAAGGGCCCTCAAACTTTACCTGCTTGAATAGACCAGGTAATGTCACGCTAGTATACAGGCGTCATATTGTGACGAAGTTCACAATAACATTTCGGGCGTAAAGTACTGTCCAACAGCGCAACTGAGCGGTAAACATCAATGCACTACACGGAAGTGCGATCAACCTGAGCACGAACTCGAGGACCTAGTACAAGCTGTCAGCCTGGTAAGTGTCGAAGCACGACATGAACCAAGACAAGTACCTCAATTCCCTCGTGGTGAGGGCATCAACAGTCGAGCGATGCTTGCCTGTAATAAACGGTGCGAGTCCGAGACCTTCACTGGGGCAGCGTACTCATACACAGGGGAATTGCCGAGACGGGTCCTTGTGAAGTGGCGATTGGTGGCGCCTTTCTTTCTTATTGCCGCGCTTGAAACTGGTTTTCACATTATCTGAAATTAAGAACATTTCATTATTTGACTCAGTATTTAACCAACACAACGGCTCACAGCGTAGACAAACCTCAAAACAGGATAGCTTAATGAAATCATGTCGACTCTGAAGACCTACTTTAAGTTTTTATAAACGTCACTAGAAAGTTTACAGAAAAAACTCAACAAATGGATTCAAATATGAAAAAAAATGACTGTGTCTGCATGTTTTAAAAAGTTGTGAATTGCCCATGGAACCAGTTTCCAAAGATCGACAGCAATTTAAAAAGATTTCAAACACAGATTCAACAATGGTTATTGAAGTCACTAGTTTGTAGGAAGAAGTCGATAAACATAAGTATATATTTTGTTATTTAAAAAGCTCCTCACCGAGGACATAGAAAATTCAGTGCCTTGTGATTGACTTTTTCCAACCTCTACACATCTTGTTGAATTCAGACTGTGGCAACACTTTCTTTGACCATTTCTTTTAAATACAGAAACATATACCCAATCGATGGGTAAGCCTTTTCTGAGGCCAGAAAGACCACTGGTTCCTCCCGAATGTAATGGCCAATCATTATTTTGATCCCGAAGAGCAATACGGGAGGCCTCTTCCATTCTCCTGCTATCTCTTTAGGTTCTTTAAGAAAATAAAAGAGGTATTCTAATTGATCGAAATTTTGTGTGGGTAGCCGCCGAATTTGAAGGACAATGCAGCTCTCCCGGCACGAAGATGTTGAAAACAATCCTTAAGGGTGCATGTTGTATGGTTTCACGATATTTTGTTAGATTGTTCTTTAAATTGTCGTGTGCATTATATTTTCGCACGAATTAATGACCGCCCTCCAGAGTTTGCTAACGCATAACCATTGACGGCTTTCCATAAACTGTGACATAGATGGCGAGAGCAAAATCTACAAAGGGACAAAAGAAAGGTTTTTTATCAAGCAACCAGCGTCTCTTTCGTGCACGTCAATACCACGGGGACACTACAGTGATACCATGGACCGTGCTTGACGCAAACATTATCAAGGCGCAAAAAGGGAAAGTTGATTTAACCAATAATCCCGCGGCGGTTCTGTTGGTTGACAGTCATAATTCTGACAAACGACCATTGTAACCTTGCTGTATTGCCAGGAATAGTCAAAGCATTGGCCATCTCGCACGAGGATGTGCTGAAAAAACGGAACCAATTCGTTAAATTACAGCTGGGACGTTTGCGAAGGCCGCCCCATTTTAAACAAAACAATCCATCGACGTGGTTAAGTTTACTTCGCTCGTTTCCACAGCGGTCACGCCTGACACAGTAAGGGGTATCAAGCTCTAGAGAGGATCGAGTCATTTCACTCTCAAGTAAAAACGCAAGGGTTTTTATCGGGAGCTCGTCCTGACTGCATCAGTGTACGTATTTATGACGTGCCCAATCACTAGGTGAAAACCTGATAGCGAAAACAGAGAAACTTGTCAAGAACCCACACCATCCCTGCGAAAAGTATCTCTGACTGATTTGGTCTATTCTACAGCATAATTCTTCATTAGAAAACAATTTTGACACAAGAAGAGAGACACGTCCTGCTCTTGTGCTTCATTAATCTAGTCACAGTGAAAAACGTGGACAGCGTGCATTAAAAGTCGGTATGTTTGGTTTGGGGATTATTTGTTTGTTTATTTGTTTGTTTTGGGGAAAAATTATGTCGTCTCGACAAGTTGAATACGCGTCTACTAAAGGATTAAATTAAGTCAAAAAGCTAATATCTACGGGTCGTTTATTTGGAATTCAAAGCGTTGACATTTCACAACCGGCAGGAATATCAAATTCCAGTTTTCAAAACCGTTTTGCGAACGAAAAATGGGGCCTGATTCATCCTTTTGGTGAAAAACTTCCCTTTCCACCATCCACTTACCCCAAAAAAATGCATTTTTGGTCCAATGGAAGTATCAAACTTCTGCCTAAATCACAAGGATACCCAAATTATGCTGTTTGTGAAGACATTCTCCTGGTTTGCGTTGAAACAATACCTCATCTTTAAAATAGCTAAGACTTGAAGTGTTGCGCAAGGACTAAGTTCTACGTTTTGATTACCAAACGCCTGTCGAACAAACATCTTAGGGTTACGAAAATGTCAAGTGAACAGCAGATTACATTACGCCAGTGTCAGACAAGCTATGGGAGGGATCGCACCCCTGTCAGTTTAATGAAATAATAGACATCTGACATACCAAGGCTGAATGCACAACTGCACGGTGAAAGAAGTGAATAATGAAATTTAGAAACACACCTTGGATTTGAGTGCAGTTTAGATTCAGATGTACATAATGTGGCTGTAATAATAAGTATGCAAAAATGGCGGTTGCACGTGTGTTCCGTCTTGGTTTGAGCGAGTAGTCCTTGCACTAATAAAGTGTGGGGTGGGTGCCGTGTGTACCAATTAATCCCCGGGAGAATGATTTACTAAGAAATCCCTAGGCGTAGTGCACTTATAGCTCTAAGCCTAAACATCAACATGAAATAGATTGACTTTATACCAAAATTATTTATGAATGAGATGCGTATTGTAGTTTTAAATCAAGGTTATTACCAATATAAGACGAGAAATTTGACGAAAGACCTGCTAACTTGTACCTGAGAAATAAAACTGTTTCACAATTGATTCTTCCAACCAGGTCCGGACGGCCGAAAGAATCAAGACGTGAAGGTCAACGAAGACAACCGGTACGTGGGAATCGGGGCGACGTCACCCGAGAAATCCAGCGAGTTGCTGTATCTCTACCGACCGGCCACCGGCGCTCCTTTCCACCGGGCCAAGTGCGATATACCCGGCTCCATCGGCTGGGGCTTGCCAAGGACTGAAGACCCAAGAACCTGGCCGGTGCACTTGAAGATTTGTACACCTGAGGTAGGGGCCTGTTTTGGGTGTGTCCACCTGATCTGAATACCTACCGCTCATAATAAAGGAAGCTTTAAAGCGATATGCCACCCTACGAAGCCTAAAGCTGTTACATTATAATAGCCACCGGAATTACGTAACAGCTTCAATATCATTGTAAACTGGGCTTGTGGGCACAAAAGAAAGAAAAAAAATGAGAGTTTGGTAGAGCTGACTTGCACAGTGCATTGCAAAGGAATTGTACTGAGGTTGTCCGCAGTGCGAATCTCAGAGGGTACCTTTTCTCTCGCTCTCTTTTTCTCTTTTCTTTTTCGGTGTGTTTCCCGTTGAAAAAGATCAGTTTTTAGAGGTTATTAAATTTCTTGCTCAATTTTGTATGGACTTGCCGTTTGTTTTATTCAAGTAAAAAAAAAAACGTTTACTTCAACGACATGGGCAATATCACTCAATATAATTATGTTACCTCCATGTTCCAATTATTAGTATTTCGCTGTAAAGCCTCGTTCATTAAATAGGGGTGGGTAGTCGGATCGCACTGTGTGTTTGAATGGGTTTATTTTCAGAATGTTAATTCGAGGTCCGCTATAAATGGCTAACATACTGCTGCTGACAGCTGCGTGAGAGAAGTTTAGACCTTGGTTAATTTTCACAACATTTTGCACATCATCCTGTATATAAAAGTTATCAGTGATGAAGTTTTACTGCTAATCTGAGACTTAGCTTCTGCGCTGAAGTGATTGCTTCAGGGAGAAACAAACGACAAGTATGACACAACCCCGCTGTCAATTAAGCGTGGGGCACCGGCAAAATGCATTTTCATTTGATTATCTTGTTTTTTCTCCTTGCAATTTCTCGTCTGTTTTTCGTTCTCCAGGAATTCAAACAATCCAGAGAGAACTCACAAGGCATATGGAATAACAGATGATGCAAGATAGTGGAGATGCCTTCTCCACAGTGTCAACAAACTTCATCCAAGGAGTACCGCACAGCGTGCAACTTTGTTCCTTCACACGAGTGGCCAAACACACAATGCTGCACTTGCCAACGGTTCTTTTGAATAATGCACAGACGAAAACTTCACGTAGTTTGAAGGGCGTCCCCAAACGCTTTAGACGCCGAAAACTGACACCGAAACAAATCTTGACTATTCTCACCAGAGCACTGCACTATGGACTTGCCGATAGCAGTAAAACTTCCTTACGTTTTGAGTTTGAATTTTGCCAAGCGAGGGCGCTGGACAAGGTTGAGTGTGACGCGTGAGTTTGCAGTCAACATGGAGTTTGCAGTTGTTCCAGGGAGAAAATCTCAATGTTGCATTGATTTGTGCACACAAGACTGTAAAATCTCTGTTCCTTCTGTGGTGATTCTTTGTTGTATACGTACATGGCAACAAGTGAGAAATCCTTTAGGAAATGTTTCTTTTCTAATGAGCACATTTTGGATTCATAATTCGAACGGAAAACCTATAAACTGAACAGTGTCTTCCTTGAATAACATCAAAGCAACAGCATCCCCATTTATCCAGAAAAAAGGACACATGTCGTACATTATTCATGCACTGGAAAACAGTATGAGTGCACACAAATAAATGTGTACATGTGTAAGAACAATTCGTAGCATAACTCGTCAAGGCTTCAACGGTAACGCAGGTGCCGCGCTCGTTGGAACCGTTTATCTTTTAATTTCAGAAATGTTCAAATACGCAGTTGCCGCGCAGCTGCCTTGGTCTTTCTGCAATAAATTTGGTTGTTTTTGTTCCAGCCGGCTTTTTAATATTGATTGCCGGTCACTCTGCTTTTTTCTCCATTTTTTGCAACAAATCCACTGTATTAGCTTTTCCTCTAGAATGATGTTACAAATACGCCCTAGGCATTGTCAATGATTTAAAGTCTTCAAGCTATGTCATTTTGTGAATTTGAATCCTGTATTTTGAGGGGCTCTCATAGTGCAAAACAAAAGCATCTCAAGTTGTTATTTTTAAATTTCTCACATCGTATTTTCCACTGCCTATTTACACATGATTTTGCATGTCAAATTGAGCTCTACGGAGTTCTCTAAGGGCAACAAAAAGTGAAATTGAATCGATTGTACTGTTTAATCAAATCAAAACGATTGAACTGAGTGCAAGACATGTATACTTCTTTCAAAAATTCTTTTTTGAGGCTCCATATAGTGCATCAGAGTCAAAATGTTATAAAGCTCGTCAAATAAACCTTATTGTTACTATTCAGAAATGGCAGAGACTGTGCCCAGGCTGTTTTACGTCGTTGTAGCATTTTTCCATTCAGTATATTCGCTTGCAAGCCTCCAAGACGACTGAGTAAAAATGTATCCTTATAACACCCACTCAAAAAGATGAAGGAATACATTACGGTATCTGCTCTGCAGAAAGAGCATATCCTGTGACCGCGTAGGTGAATTGTTGTAGTAAAGTAGGGAACCGTACTTGAGTAAGGGCGCCCTCATACTTCCAATACGCGTCACGGAGGTAACAACATAACGTTTGTACTTTTTAGGCGCTTCCTGTGCACGCGGTCTAAAGGTGGTGTAGAACCGTATTCTCTGCATTTTGCTTCCATTAATTTGCAGGGAGCATGCTTCGGCCATGCTCCTAAGTGTGGGAGAGATTCAATGCTAGAAACCCCTAGTAAGTAGTTATCATTGTATAAATACTTCACACGATCTTCTGTCGGAGAAAATTGTACGATTTACAGGGCCCAATGTGGTAATTGCACTCTAAAAACGTCCGGGTCAGATTGACCCAGAATTGGGTCCCATTCGGTATAATCCTTTCAGGGTCCAGAAAAGGTCAAATATGACCCGAAAGGGGGTCATATTTTGACCCAGAAAAGGTTCATACTGAATGGGACCCAATCCTGGGACAATCTGACCCGGAAACCTTTAAAGTGTGCTTTCTGTATTACAACGTGTCATACTGAACTGGTCAACTAGCCATGTGCCCGGTTAGTGTTAGCCCTTGACCATCCATTGTATTATTATTTACGGTGCCGTCTAGAAATTTCACTACACCAAATGTTTTCTTATTTAATAAATTGTATTCTGGAGTAAGATATCATTTATTGTTCACGTGTTCTCCAAGGGTGTCACATTAACACCCTACTTTTTTGCGGTGTGTCCTACCATTGGTACGCTATGGATTCAAAGGAGATCTGGGTCATTTTCTTTGGCGCCCGTAGCATAAACACTCTTTAAGAAAATGCAAATTGTGAATTCGGAAGTTTTTTTACTGAAACATGGTGTGTAGCCAGATTTTTGTTGGCTCGTCGTCAAAATACTTGTTTTTTTGCTCCGTTTGCAGAGAGTTATACCACCAGGCCTTGAAGATGCTGGTAATATGATGACCTACTGGGGAATATGTTTGCTACTCTCGGCAATTCCCCTGAGATAGCTAAAAGATTTTAGAGGTTTACCGAAGACAGAAGTGAAACAAGTGCAGTGGCTGAGAGAAAATGACCTTGAAATACATTTTCAATGGGCCGCTCAAGCTTGGGCCAAATGCAATTATAAATTTAACTTTTTTTACCGAATCGCAGGTCTATAGCCGCACGCCCCACTTTGCACATAACAAACAGCCATTTTATTTTCAAAATCTGAAGCTGAAGCTGAAGCTACTCTGACATATTTGTTTATGCCGACCTCTTTAGTTTCAGTACGAGTCGTTACTTTGTACTGGTAGTCTGTGGCCTAGAGCTAAAAGTGTTTGATACTAATTATTATTAATTACTGAAAAGACATTTTCTTTAACACTGAACAAGAGAAAGGAATTAACGAAAAGGCTAATATTTAGTTATTATAAACTGTTAGACGAGGGCTGCATTCGAAAGCTACGGCTGCCGCTCATGCGCAAATAGAAAACACCCGCCAGTAGTTGCAACCATTCACATACACGTGAATGTTACAAAATAAATGTGTAAATCATCTTATCCACAGGCACTTTCTCTGTTTTTTCTTTTGTTTCTAACTTAGAATAAGTAAACAAAAGATAATAATTCCAGCCAATTATGAATAATAGTATTGTAATTAATCTCGTATTTTGATTACCATGAATCCCCTGAAACCTCATCATGGAAACAAAGTGGAGCAGACATGGTTGCACAGTGCATGCTTTCAAAGCAAGCAGTGAAGCCTTTTTTAAAGAAATGTTTCCCTCGATGATCTTGATGTTAGTCTCGTTCGTTTTGGGAACGATCTGCCTTTCGTCGGACCGATTATCGACACTTGCGTGAGCAACGCACAGCCCGCGTGCAAAGCAGTAGTTTCCGTTTCGTATGGCCAATGGTGTCCATTGCAATGCAAATGGTCTAATTTGTTTGTGACACGTACACCCCCGCAGTCTAGGACTGGAGTCAAACATTATGATTTGCCCTCCCTTTAGTCAGTTGCCAATAAAGAGTGACGGAGTTGCCGCTGTCTATATCCAATCTGATCAGTATACCAGCACCAACTTCAAACCCTGTAAGTTGCAATGATATCAACATTTGGTTGTCATACTGCAATAATGTAGGCCTAAATAAATGCTCGAATTTGTCAGCCTCATGCTCACTAAAGTTTTGACATAGATGTAAATCTCTGCAGATGTCGAGCCCCAACCATTACTTGTTAATTCCCTAAATGAGAGCTGATCCGTAGAAGATTCAACGATGGACACATTTGCCATGCAGTTTAAATTTATCTACCCGTGATGTACATGCATCTGTTGCGGTTAAAGTAACCTGGCCCATGCATTGCGTATTTCGCTTGTCTGTTTAAACCTCAATGTGGCAACCCACGTCTGCTCTTTTCCCTTCAAAATATATTGTTGATGTTGAAGAGGGGAAAGTTCTGGCTCATTTTAAAACTCACCGAACAAGGGGAACTATCGTGGGGGGGGGGCAGAGTGTCCCCATACCCATTGCCTCTCCCTTTACGCCACTTCCAGGGGCGCAAAAATATGATTCCCACTATCACTCATGCCGAGGGCACTTGGTCATTGGCCAGCTTTTCCTTTTGTGGTGGACTTGTCTTGAGCTGTTTACAACTTCTTGCCCATGATTTGAATAAAGCTAGCTTTTGGCATGGTCGCCAGGCTAATTCCTACATAATGGAGGCTGGCACATTGTCGTTTTGTTTTTGAGGGATAAACCATAGAGCAAGGAAACAGACAGTGCGGCGTTGCAAAGTGAAAATGGCCAAGAGAGACCGACAAACGCCAGACGAAAAGACACAGCTTCTCACCGACACTCGAAAGAGAGGTGTCTTCAACGAAGCATCAGAGGTGATTGATTCTACGCACGTACTCACGTCAAGGTCCAACCATCGCAATAGGCAACCCACGGAGGTCGCCACGCCAATCGAGCTGTCACTGTCCGGTAAGAGCAGCGGCTTCTCCGATTCAGTACCGCCGGTGCCGCAGCAGCATGTTACGTACGTCCAGCGCTGGTATGTTCTGGTCGTCTTCTCAATGCTCGCGCTATGGTCTGCGGCTGCGTGGAATACTTGGGGACCTATTTCAGACACGTGTAAGTACATGAAGTAGAACTTGTCTTCGGCCATTATGTTGAGCCAAGTCTCTCAATTTGGCCATATGGCTCGTCCTCTTTCTTGGACTTTACAAAAGTAAGTTCTTCAGTTGAGAACTCTAGTAAAAGTGGATCTGCTTTGATTTCTGTATGTGAATTTTTTAGCTTGAAAGTCTAACAATTGGGTAGGAAAAGTGGCACGGCGTCTCTCACTCGCTTGACCGTCATTCACAACAATATTAATAACTTCAGAAAGGGACAAATTAAAAGTGAAGGAAGAAATGGGTGAATGACATCTTTCAAAGGCAAAGTTTTGAACTTGTCTTTTGCAACATTTCAACAAACTGTCCACAAGAACCATTAACAGAAAACAGGCTTACTTTTTACTTCAATCGCCAGCGATTCCTAATTTTCAAAATTAGCAGTGAAGTGACATTACAATTCAATGAGGCATATGTAACTCTGACATTATTACTTACAACTCGGTTTATTAAAAATGGGTTTTATTTACAAATTCTGAAAAAAGAAGACAACTATGTGTGAAATTGCACGATTTTACTCAGTTACTGTGATTTTACACAGGGAAGAGTACAAGAGTGGAGCATTTCTAATAGGCCTAGTTATAACCAAACAGTTTCATTGCTTTTTACACTGGGTGTCATACAATGTAATGACAGAGGATTTAGATTGAAAAGATTGATGCTTTCATTCTAGACGAAGTCTGTTGAAAGTTTACAGCTTTATCTGAACGATGAAATCTTCACTAAACATTCAGTCCTCATGTTGTAAAGCTTCTAGAGTTGGCCAGCCTGTCGGACTGACTGAATTGAAATTCGAAAAACCAGACTCAGTTTCCCTCAAAATTTGCTTCACCCATATTTTGATGCGATGCGGCAGATTTTTCTGTCTTGTGTACGTAGAACGCTTTTTCCAGGGAACCCAAAGTATCGAAATAAAGCCTTATGTAACAAGGGTCTAAAATGACCTACTGTCACTGATAAAAGTGAAAATATTATTTTCACTTACAGCTAAAGTTGTGTTGAATTGGAGTGATGGAGACGTGGCACTTTTAACCAACTGGAGTTTTATCACGTTTGTCACATCCGGCGTGTTTTTCTCCTGGTTGATGGATGTAAAAGGTAGGAATTTAAGAACGGAAATGGTGCTATTTGTTTTCAAAATGAAATCTAAAAATGAATTCAGTGATATTAATCATTAGAAATTATTGGACAATCTGCATGCTATTTAACAAATTTTTAAAACACTCACTATGACTACATTGGGATGTTTTAATTCAATCCGACGTAATTTAATTTACATTCTTGGCGCGGCCGGCATGCACTGAGCACGTCACGTCGGTGAGAAAAGTTTAAACATATTGGGGGTTACCTGCCGCGTGAAATGGTGTGTCTGATCTCCATTAAATTGGTTTCAAGATAATTGTAAGACATTACTGGCAAAACTGAAAGGCTCGCTGTGAAACAGAAATACATTGCGACGTTACTGGAGAAATTTGACAGGTGTCAGATACTGTTGCCCGGCTTCTTTGTGGTTTAAGAAGCGTTCTACGTTCCTGAGGGGGAGGGAGAATTCTGTTACGGATGAAAACAATGAACATTCGTTTAAGAAAAAATACCTTTTAGGTCCCTTCAGACCGAAAACCTATATGCATCCCCAAGTTAACATCCAACTTATAAAATGACCCTAATCACTTCGCGATTTCATGACTTAAATAGCTGATGGCTTGATGAACTTCAGTGAAAAGTAGGTGGATGGGGTGAACTGGCCCGAATTCTAGTCTGCACAGTGGTCTATATAAAAAGAATTATGCATAGTGTTCTCTTCAACGGGCGACCCAATCGATCTTAACAATGAATATACACAATAACAGATACGCGTCTGTAATAATGCAACTGACCCATAGACACGAAAGTACAGTGTACAACGCTTGTCAGTTGATTTAGCAATGGTGTTATGATTTGAACGAGCAAAATAAAACAACAAAATGTTACATAAAATAAACAAGAGAAGGAATCAATAAACCTTTCAGTCACTTTGAAAGTCTGGGGTACATTTTGGAAACAGCAAACAGCAGCTCTTATTAGCTGGTTCCTTTCCCTTCATTTCTAAAGCGGGTAAAAACCTCTGAAATATAGCCTTATCTCCCAGAAAGGCCATAAATTGTTGCTTTAAAAATCCCCTCCCCCAAATGGTTCTGGAGGCTACCCTCTACATGCCTTTATATCTTAGTGTATTTTTTATTACAGGTATTAAGTGCCATTAAGGGGAAATATGTTTGCATCTTAATCGGCCAATGCGCTTCGAGCAGAAGCACCCTCATCGGTTGAAAAGAGCCGCGTTGATGGGGAGTATTCATTTTGTTGGTAGCGATGCGACTGCAACGCTTGCGTTTCCTAGTCGTTCATGAACCACCATGCACAGTTAGTACCAAATGAGCATCCGTTGCTAAGGAAATAACGTCCTCTCTTGGTCCACCTTGAGGTCACTACTATGGCTCATTGACATCCTGATCAGTGTGTGATCGAGAAGACAAAAAAAACCTGATCAGGTTCATGAAGGATTCCGTGAACTTTCTCTGATACGGTGATTTTTTGGTTGAATAACTTTATTCTAAGTTAAACAAATGCAACGCTATGCGAAAAGAAGAGGACTTTATTTGCAACATATTGAAGAGGATGGAACTCATCCGCGTTTTAGTACTGATTCATCCAATGGCGCACCCATGGGGCGGGTCTTCAGGGGCTTAATCCCTCAATAGTTTTTTGTGAATAACGAAAATAAAATATACACCAACTTATAGCTCTGATAAAGCCGAAATCGAAGTTCCATATGGGGCAACGGGGGGGGGTGAGCATCATGAGCTATTTCATTCCTTTCTGAGCCCCCACGACAAATTCGGGGTGCGCCATTGCATTCATCCCCGGTTTGTGTTTTGTTGTCATCCCACCTCTTCGTGCAACACGGCTGTTGTTTATTTGTCAGTGCTGATGGGGTGGCCAAGATGAACCCCAACTGTAACGTCAACAGACATACACTGTGCTTGGCAGGAACGTCCCATCCACCCGAGTTCAAGACGTGTTTTAATTAATTTCAACACTGTGTTTCTCATCGACACCATTTTTTCTCGATCCCTGGAAAAGAAAACAATACAGTTGTCGAATTAAAACGTCAAGTTCTCAGTCCTTTCTTTTTGAAACCCAGGCCTTCGGGTGGCATTACTAGCCAGTGCAGTGCTACTCTTCGTTGGCTCAGGCATTCGAGTGTTGCCCGTCGGAATTGACAATGTTATTTGGTAGGTCTCGTTGAAGGGGGCACTAAAAGTAGTCGTTAACTGGGGGGGGAGCTTGTGAAGTGGCAGGGTATTTCTACAGGTATTTCTCACAACACGTAAATGAATTTGTTGAGAAAAATGCGTAAGAGCGTTCTGAAAAGGGTTTGATGTATATGTGAATTTCTTCAAAGCACTTAATTTTTACATGATTCAAGAATCAACAAGTGTATACCTCATCACTGGCTGTAAAGTCTTTAGACGTTTCTTAATTTCCGTTGCCAAATTATTCTTCAACTGCTATTATTTTAATATCAAAATGCTTATAAACTGGGACAGAGCATGCCAAACGAGGCATTTTCTTCATAATCTTGATACCAAGCTGTTTCGATGATTTGCCAATGTTACGATGAACTAGTCGCTTCCAGCAGATAATTGAGGTGATGTCATTATTGCAAGCAGAGTATAGGAAGAAAGATCCGATAAAAATTCTTTCTTATCAGCAGGACGATGAACATTGGCATGATTTTCATCGGCCTGTCAAACCCAGTTCTGCTGGCCGGCCCACCGCTTCTGTCCTCCGTCTGGTTCCCCCCTCACCAAAGGACCACCGCGACAGCTATAGCCTCACAGTGTTCCTACCTGGGCATAGCAATGTCGTACTTTGTGGGCCCTCAGGTTGTGAAAAACCTGGGCATTAGGAACACGAGGTGAGTTTTATTTCATTCTGGGCCTAACTGCCAGAGTGCGACATGGTTTTGGCACTGGCCTACATAATAAAGGCGCCTTTCCATGTACGTTTTTTTTGCGTACAGCGTTCATGCGTTTCACTTTTACGGACACGAAACCGACTCCATAAACGTAACACATCCACGGTTAAACCAATGTGGAATAGACCCTGAAATCTTAATCATTGTCTGAACAGTGCCCAAAAGCTTCGGTGCCCTGCAGTGCGCACAAATAAAGAGTTTTTTTCCAAACAAAACATAGGCCCTATCCAGCCTCTCAGACAGGCTGGCACTTGACAGTTGTTTACCGGTAGTCAGCTACCAGATCTACCCAGTGATGACCCTTTAGTTAGGATCTAGCCTGCCGCGACGCCGTTTACAACATTAGGTGGACAGTGCACAGGACAATATTTGTAAATTCAATAGGCTCTGTGATATTGAATATACACAACAAACACCAGTATTTCCATTTTAACGACGGATATATTTAGTATCCTTGCACAGAACGCTTTAATGGTCTTATAATTATTGGGATTTTGCAGGAAATACTGCTCACATTCTGAATAACTTAAATTTCTGTACACGGCAGTCCATGGAAATTACAGTCTTGTACAAAGTCCCGTGGCTTCGACCTGGACGAAATTCTGTGTTCTAAAAAAGCACTGTTGCAGTTACATTGTATGTCATAGGCCCTAGTATGGAATGACATGAAAAGGTTAACTCCAGTACATGTTCCATCATTATAGCACCATCGAACCAGCCAATGAAAACGGTGCCATTGTGGAAACCGATTTGCTACCCAATCTCCGTCAGAACTACTGTCAAATCATGGACCTCATGTACATAGGTGAGAATTAGGAGTTTTTTTCGTAGAGTTAGATGATATACGCAGAATGAGGCCATTTAGGGGGCCAAGAGATGAATTTTTCTCGGTTGTGCTTTTTTGTTCAACCTCATGCTCATCTTCAATGAATGAAAGCCATTGTATGTCCTTTGTGGGTAAGGTGCAATGAAGTCAGTGAAGACCGAAAATCTCTGTTCGATTTGTGAACCCAAATTTGCTCATTGAAAACATCAATTTATCACCATAGAATGGCAAGTTTCTGCCAACAAAATATAAAAATCTCGCAACTCCATGTAACAAAGAGGCTTTCTTCCCAAAGATTCACAACAATTTTGTCCTTGGAAATTCTCACTGGCATGAAACCAATGAAGCATAACATTAATCTTTAAAATAGCAAACGAAAATCTAAAACAAGGTCAAATGAAAAGCAAGAGAGCATTTGGTGCATTAAAATGCATACCGGTAGATACTGTAAAGAAAAATCGCAGTTTAACGTATTGTCAGGCTAGTTTCCCGCACCAGGCAACATCACACCACACTGTTAGGCTTTTACATCAAACTCACTGCATGCACCGCCCTACACTGTGCTCACATGCTTGCAGATTTGACCAAACTATACATCGGTAAACGATATTTTATATCAGGCACGGTGACGTAAACTTAATGAAACCTGGAGTTTCATTCTATAAATCCCGTATTCTTTTTTCTTATGACCGGCTCTTTCTCTCCGACAACTTCCAGAGCTGGCTGTCTCAGCCGTCCTGTTGATTTTCGTGTTCATGTCTTTTCCCGCTAAACCACCCTCTCCGCCCAGCAACACTGCAGAAATTCAGCGGAAGAATTTCAAGGAAGGCGCACTGATACTTGTCAAGTATAATTCAGGTTTTATTGATTTCGATATTAGTGTTTTATGTTTATCGATCTTGCCAATATAACCAAACGAAAGAACGAAGTCACTGCATGCTACACCTACGAAACCTACGAAACAGGAGGTATTCAATATTAAAAAAATCATTCGAATCACCAAGGGAACGATTTCTATGGTTTTAACACACACGCCCGGCCCCCAAAAGTTAATTGAAACAAGGAATTAGGTATTCACAAACATAGTTGGGAATTCTAGAGGTACATACTTCATTTTTATTGCGCGGAGGTTATCGCCCCCATAAAGTACATTCTCGTGTATTCTGCTCGTAATTATTTGAAATTTGGCAGAGTTAAAAAGAGTAGAAACTACGCATATTAGTCGAATGTTGTCGTCACTCGGTAGCGTATCCAGCGAGAAAAGGGTTGGGGGAGTCGCCCCAGGGACATGTTGGCAATTTTAGTTTTTTGAAGGTATTGAAGGCACCAGCATACTGGAAACGACACTACAACCTTCTGCCTGAAAATAAAACTCAAACACAGCACGAGCTATAACTTCGATTGGAAAGTGTGTATTCATGCTTTTACAAGTCGGTCTTCAGAAAACTGGACACTGCGGGGCTGATTTCATTTTGAAACAAAATGAGCATACAGTCTCTGTTGGAGATGGGAAAAGTAAAGTCTACTGCACTGGTGTCGTTTATGTGCTCTGATATCAAGAGGAATAAGTGTAGGAGAGAATTAAACATTATATTGTATATAATTGCGTTTGCCTCGCTTAGTACGACACACCTAAACTTTAACAGATGTGTTGACGCTCCATTATACAAGTCGCTGTTAACAAGGAATATTCGCTAACAGCAGTTTCTTTGACGACTGAGCCCGCGAAGGCAGATTTTTTAACAGAAATAAGGAATCCCTCACATCCCTGAGAGTTAAGTAACACAGACTAATAATTTCCAGATTTGTCATATCAACATATTACTCATCCTGTTGTGCCATAATTTCACAGGAAAGATTAAACTGTGCCACATTTCCTGACCCTGTGCTATTTCTCATTTATGCTCATCCTTAGGTCATTTTGTACCCCATTAATTCATTCCTATTCATATCCTTATGATCATAATTATTATGCTTATGCCTATTCATGTGATGCCCAAGGTCAAACTGTACCCAACTGCCCCCCTAACTACTCATATCATTTGCTAGTTCTTTTCAAGGATGCAAACTCGAGAGTGATGTGAAAAACACAAATAATTGATTTTCTCTGACCAAACCATCTTCTGGTATAGCGTGGGGACTATAATGTTACAGAAAACGGGACTTGTAGACTGTTCCAGAAAAAATTCTGTTCAAAATCAATGTGAAATCAGTTTGTGAAATCAATGTTTCACCTCTCCAAATCAGGAAACACCAGTTCTGGATCCTCGGCTTTGCTTATGGTTTTAGCATGGGCATTTACGGAGCATGGAGCACCATGTTAGATCCGATATTCGAGGAAACCTTGGGAGTTGAACAGGTGAATAATTATCGGTTAATCTCTTTTGACATTCACAGAAACGAATTACTTGACAATGCATTGCCCCCATGAATGTCATCGTTGCAGTTGTTGGCGTGAGTCCATGATTATTGACTCGTGTCATTTCAAGGAGTGAGCGCACAGGTGCATAACATCAAGTTTTCAAAGCTACGTTTTGATATCCATTTGTGTTTTACCCAGCACGATACATGTGGTAAAGGAACCCCGAAACGCGTAAGCTATAAACCCCAGGCTGTGGACCTGACTGCACCTACTGCACAGAAGTTACAAGGGGGGGTCCCTTTGCCTCATTATTGTGCATCAATATGGACAAGGAAAACGTCCCTGTCTGGAGAATTATACTGCTACAAGTCTGCCGCAGCGGTAGAAATGATAACTGTATATTCTCACTTCATTAGTAAACTTGATTAAGCACTTCACATCTCAGTATTATAACGGATTATCTCAAGAACTACATCACTGCCCTTCTCCAATCTCTCGTCGTTTCCCTCCTATAACTTCCAGCTCACTACCGGATGGATAGGTGTCACTTCCAACATTGCTGGAGCTATTGGCGGTCTCCTCTTTGCTAGGTAGCAACAAGCCCTTAATAAGTTAACCTATTTTGAGTAAACAATCATGGAAGTTGATAACAAATGATAATTCGAATTACAGCTTTTGCACTACACACTGCGCGAGTGGCTCCCACAGTGACTTTGGCCAGCCACGAGAGTGGCACGTTACTTCACCTACTTTCCTCCCTTGTTATATCGGTAATTAAAATGATTGATAGTGATTAAGTATTTTGCCTTCCAAAAAATCATTGTATTCCCTCAATTTTACAAAATTTCAACGAACCCACAAAAGTTATTTTTATGCCCTTAATAGCGAGTTACAAATTGAAAAGGAAAAAAATCCTTCTGGTTATATCATCTAATTTTTAGAACCAGCAAGATATGGAACGGAGGGGTCCCCCTATAAATGTCTAAACAGGGACACTATAGACTGTTGTTACCCAACACATCCCCCTAGATGTCTGAACAGAATTCCTGATATTCTGGTCAAACAATGACTAACATAAAAGGGGTTCTCTCCGTTTCACGTCTTGCTTCAATTAATATCCTTGAAATACACTCTCGCGTTGCCGGCCCTGTCTGTTCTCAGTCAATATAAATCCCACATGAAGGCAAGCAAACTATGGGACAGAGAGAACCCCCCCCACCCGCCTTTGTGTTGGTCTTTCTTATACTGGTATCTCAGGAAATCTTTTCAGACTAGGGGAATGTGTTAAGGGTGCAGACCACTAATTCAAGTGAGAATTTCTGGCCAGCTCATTAGCATTAAAAGTTCCCCCACAGTATCTTTTGAAAAAGGAGATTGTTTGGCCCCCAAAATGGTGAGATTGTGTAAATCGTTGCCGGGATCAACTCCCTGGGTCTTTGAGCTTTCATATGAGAGCAGAAGAGCTAAAAACNAAAAATTGAAAAGAAATTGAAAGATGAGTGAGCAGACAAGAATTTCATTTGTGTTTCAGAAATCTCAGGAATGTTGGCGTGCATGCTATTGGGCCCTGAACAGTGCTGATTTTACACTGTTTTCGATGGGGCTTGAATTAGTGGACCGGACCCCAAGTGACAATAGGCTGGAAGGCGTTTTGGGATTGGACTTGTGTGTGTGGGGGGGTACCCCTCTGTCCCATTTCGTGCCTGGTATAATAAAATCCTGTCGCCCTCCTTGAGCCATTGTGATTGACCTCCACTCATCAGTCTTCCAGAAACGTCTACACAGAAGTAGATTTGAAGCTTAGAAACGGGGAAACGAAACGGGGGAGAATGAATGGCGTGCAGGCTACCGGTACGGATTGCCACGAAGATGGCACAAAAAGATGAACATCATACGTCCGTAACAAACTGGTCATGATCTGTAGATTCATTTCAGAGATTCAGGTGGAAAACCCTGTGTACAAGATCTGCAATTGAATGCGCAGCGTTGGAAACATTTCTGTAAGCATAGAGGAAGGACACAGAAGGCGTTGCACTTCAGACACTTCAATTTAAGTGTTAAATTAATGATCGTCGCCGTTGAGTCAAACGAATAATAAAAAACATTCCAAAAATGCCTTATTACTGCCTGCATCTTAGCCGGACAAGCGGGGCCAGTAATGTCCTAGCAATACTTGTACTTTTTTGCTTGCAATTAAATACAAATTATTGATGTCACCAGGATAGAGAAAAATTCCTGATATTAAACCTACTTTTACCATCATAAATAAACTTTTTAAATTTTGATAAACTGTTCCATTATCCATGCAAAGTTTGTAATTTATTCTCCTCCGTCCAATACATCAGTTTTCAAAGACTTGGTCCGAATTTGGCTAAGACTGGCCAACAATATGTTCACTATTATTGGAAAGCTTAGTTTATTAGGAATAAAATGTGCTATTTCATCACAGGGAGTGATCGTGAAATCTCATAAAATATGCTTTTGTACAAATGCCATAGTAAAAATGATTCAAACAGAACACAAAATCTTGCAAACAACCGGGCTATTTATTCCCAAAATAACTCCAGAAGAAAGAGTTCATTAAGGGCAATGACTGCACAATAGGTTTAGGGCACACAGCGTAATGCAAGCAACTGCGCAAGCATTAAATTAGATGTTGTCATGAGATCGTACCAAGCACCAACAAAGCTGGCATGAAATATTCAATTTCCTATACCTCAGTACACGAAGTTTTAAGGGTGCAGATTACAATCGACAAATTGCGGCGGCCATCATAGGGTACAAAGGGGTTTCGTGATTGTGAAACAGATGGTGCGTAGCTAACGGTCGTTGCGCTCTGGCTATGGATACCAGGCATGTCAGAAAGCGGTAACTGGCCAGATGTTACAGTCCGGGCAGTTCAAACTCCTTCTGTGTCCTTCCTCTATGCTGTAAGTTAGCCCCATTAGTGTGGCATCGGGGACTCTCGCTACCGCTCTATCCTTAGCCACACTCCCGTATACGCAATTTGTGTGTCGGCGTAGTGATAAAGTTCGGCGCACCCTCTTATAATCGGAGGCACAATTTTTTTTACATACAGAGATGATCCTTAGCCTCTCCACTTTCTTTGTGCCATTCTTTTTTAATGATTTCACTCACGTTCTGCTTTTTCCAGTCTTTTTGCTTTCACCCATTCAATTTCACGGGCTCGCTCCCACAGTTGCCATCTTTAAAATAAGTTCGTTGAACATTACGTCACTTGACCCCTCAATTTCTCGACGGCTGTTCCATGTCAAGACATATCTAAACTGCTGCCCAAGTTTTGGAAGAGCCCATTGGTACATGTAGTATCTTATCGCTCAGTCCGTGTATTAGATATAAGAGATTATAAGAGGATGCGCCAAACCTTTTCACTACGCCGACACGCAAATTGCGTTTACGGATGTGTGGCTACGGATGGAGTGGTAGCGAGAGTCCCCGGTGCCACACTAATGGGGCTAGCTGTAAATAAGCTTGTTTTATTTTGTCTCAACAGATGTGCGACCTACGTTGGCGGTAGGATGAAGTGCCTGTTGATGATCCTCTGTGCGGGCGCTTCACTGTCTTGTCTGTGGATCATTTGCTTAAGCAACAAATGGATCACCTTTAATATCGGTATACCCTGCACCACCTTGCTTTTTTCTCCACGATCATCAGACGAAACTCGTGCTCCCTATGGGTCCGCATGATCAGTTGACATCACTTGATAGTCAGCTTTGATCAGTTGATAGTCAGCGTTGATAGTCGGGAGGGACCAGTAATTCCCACTATTTTACCGAAATAAACTATGCCGTATTTGTTTTACTACACTTTATAAATGTTCAAACAGAGATATCACGTTACTTGTACTCACGGACGCCATTGTTGTTTTTCAGCTGCTAAATTTCCATATAAATGTAAAGATAATGGAGTGCAGATGTGCACAGAAACAGGGCTTCAATAGTCTGGTGCTGACATACGTTTTGGGTCTTCACTGTAATAGTTATTAGGATACAACTCCAGACTGGTTCCGTAAAGGTTAGGCCTACATGACACAGACTGCATATTTACGTGGCGGGTTCCAGAAGGATTTTTGATGCTACAAAGAAAACTACCACACGGCAGCGAGTAGGATACTCACCGCTGTGACGTCATCTTGTTGCGTATCATTTCTACTTCCCGGACGCGAGGCGGAATCGGCCAATGACGCGCTCCGATTTGCTATTGAATATTTATGAGGTGTAGTAATAAGTTTTCTAAGCGATTCTTGCACGCGTTCTGCTTGTACGCAAAGACCATACGTTAACCCTAAGTCCCTAGGATTTATGTAAAATCATATAGACATCCGAGGATTTGGGACGGTTAGGGTTGAGAAATAAATTTTTACGGGTACTCAGCGTGTTCAGCGTCGAACGCGCCATTGATCTCCATCATATAAACCTGCACCTATGCGGTGAGTAAAAAAAAAAACCCCAAAAACAAAACAAACCCCCAAAAATAATAAATAAATAAATAAAACACGCCCTCTTTTGTTCCGCTCAGAGCGGTGTATAGATCTATTCGCAAGCTAATTGAGTGAAATTTCAATACATGTTTCTCCTATCCCCTCTTTCTGTTGTGGTCCACCATCCCTTCCCCAACCCACCCGTACAGAGTCTTTATTCGCCGCTTGCACCCTGTACGGGTTTTTGGTAAACGCCACCGTACCCATCTTCTACGAGATGGCGGTAGAGGAAATGTATCCGGTGGCTGAGGGTATTACCACTATGGTCATCGTGCTCCTCAACCAGAGCTCCGGCCTCGTCTACGTATCTATCAAACTGATCCCACAAGTAGGTGAGTGACGCATTTTGAAAATTTAGATCCAATCCAGGGATGGCTAGTCGAACAATAGAGTCTGAAAGTAGACCCCCTGAATGTACGCTTTCGGAACCCTTGGAAAGAGGAAAAATAACGTGCAGAACTTTTGCAATTTTTTCGTTCGTTTACTTTTTAAAAATCACCTCAGAAAAAGGCCTTTGTGGAATACTTGTTAGCTATTGATTTATAGAAACTTAAATATTACCTGACGTGAAAGTGAAATGTCTTACCAAAAGGAACAATTCCAAAAATCTAAAACACAATGAAGACCCGTGCCATTCGGTGTTCTTATAATTATGCAGATGAAAAGTTAAGAAATTATATTTGCATGGGAGACAGACAGAGGCCTGTATAATTGGTAAGTTTTCACAATACTGGAAAACTCAATGTTTTGGTGCATATTCGATTTTCAGAACAGGACAGTTTCGTTGTTTTCTCCTAAAATCTCACCATCATTCTGTCCGTTTTGACGGCAGGTGCCGAATGGATGAACTGGGTGGCATTTGCTTCGGTTGCTGTGTGCCTGCCGTTGCTTCTGGTTCATAAAGAGCGCCACAACCGACTGAATCTTGACTTGGATGCTAACTTTAACACCACAGGGGAAGACAACCAAAATATTACGGCTTGATATTTTCCTCACGAATCAGTTTTCAGGTGACGTTAATTTGAGCCAAAAATACGTCCTAAAAACTCGGCAAAGTTCTATCAAAGTTTTATTCTGCAGATTCTGGCCCTCGAAATAACTTTATTGATATTTTTCACCCCATAATGTACGTAGAAGATGGGTATGCGCACATATCTTCCAACATTTTTAACTGAAATAACCTTGATCGTTAGTTTACGTGCTTGGGCCATAAAATGTGGCCAACCAGCTTTAAGATTAAGAATCACGACAACATTAAATTTTACTTGCCGTACCCTCCCTTCTGGTATTTCAACTATGCCATTTAAATAAGTGAACATATTAAAATTGTTTTTTCGAAATTTGTTGAGATGCTGTTGAACTACGTTTGACAAGATATAAGTATTACTGTGTGAAGTAAGGGTGGTTGCATTGCATATTCAAAGAGCTGATTTAAATTGGCAACCAAGGGTGGATCCACTTCGACTACTGCTCACAAATATGGTCGGATAGATATAAAATGCACAACGATAAACTTAAACGATTACACCTTGAGAACCACAAATCATTCGGCGCCACCCTTGTCACATTTTAAATCGCTTTTGAAAACAAACCGTTTAGCTTCTGGTTTTACTTCTATTTATATTTTTTGTCTTATTTGTATGATATATTGGTAATTCAACTATTCGATAATATACTGTACTTGTAATTTTACCTCCTTTTTAACATTTTAACACGATTTTATTCTTATTTTTACGTGTACTTTTTTCATTATTATTTTAATCCTTATGAGGTTTGATTTGTCCCTACCCTTGTTTACTTGTGTATATTGTACGAAATTGTACTTGTAATTCTATCTCTTTTATTTAATATAACTAATTTCACCATTGTATTTTTGGTATTAATAATGTTGTTTTTTATTTAGTTTCACTAAATACTTCCCAGAGCCCCATGGAAGACCACAATTATATGCGAATGGGTCTCCCTGTTAAATCAAAGATAATAATATTCCATTCATTACACTAAGCACGGGTACGATATTTAGACATTGTCATAATTTATGTATTGAACCTTTCGATAAAGTAATTTGAATATAATGCTGTAAATAAACTTTACAACGCTATACATTATGTCACCGAAAACCACTTGCATTAGGAATGAAAAGTTGAGCAAAAGATTAAAAAACCAACCGACCTACTGACCAACTAGATCCGACCCCACCCCACCCAAACGAAAAATACGAAAACAATCAATGCGTTTGCTGAAAACAAACAGCTTGCACGGTTTTGCTCAACATTATTTTGCAAGTTCCTTTATTCAGCGTCGATTTTTACACACAGTAGATAAATGTAAACATCAGAGATTCATAAACTTGACCAGCCGTGCCTCTTTTGACCCGATACTGACCCATCACTGTCGCTACCCGACACCTTACAAGACGTCGGGAAGCAATGTGCCAAGGATACCGGTAATCATTCAGACACACAATCTTTGCAACGCCCCTTTCTCTCCGCATGGGACAAGGCCTTCATGACTACAATTTATATTACTGCGCACATGACACGTATAAAATCCTGCATTTCAACAGGGAAGACAGATAATGCAATAACCATTGTGACCGATAAAATCGACCAATAATGAATAAGCATTGGTTTGAGAGTATTTCGGAATGTTTTCGGGACTTAGTTTTTGTTCTTAAGACTGGCAATACAACAATTTTACAAAAGGAAAGTACATGGTGCATCCCTAGACTGTTGTGTAATGAAAATTATCCGAGGCCTTCTGACATAAGTCGAACACGGCCTTTGATCCAAGGCGAGCGGCGAAGTAAAAACCAATATGGCACGTTCCTCTTAACTACGGCTACGTCTAAACCACTTGGCTGGGGCTTGAAATTACATAAGACGCTATGGGAACCAACTACAACCACTACCATAGAAATATGAAAGGGCTGCGTAGAACCATGATCTGAATATTGACAAAAATGTAATATATCAGTGCCCCGAAACATGTAATTGCAAAGCTTCCGGTAACTGCATGAATACCTTCTTCAGGGTAAACAGATTCAGTTCTGAACAAAGATTGTATAGCACCGAAGGCGCAAGATGGATAACTCTGTCCAAAAGATGTAATTACCATAGGCGCCATATGAGCAAGCGATACGCCTGCACAGTTGACAGTAATGCTTGGGCGCAGGCTCACCAGGTGCACGTGGCTGCCGCGGCGCCTGCGCCTGTGCATTAATGTGCATTGCACAGGCACTTCCATTCCCCCTGGACGGGTGGCAGAGCGTTCAGTGCGCACTACGCGCAACGCACTTACATTGCCTGAATTTGTTTACATGTGCTCCCAAAATAAGTTCACTTTTTGCTCTTTCGGTACTGGTATCTCTTCTTTTCAAATGTTGGAGCCGCATTGTTTCGAATCCCTAAGGGCCAGATAAAGTAAATAGGCTACATGATTTTTTTTACAATTCTTCAAATGTGCGTAAATTCCATATACCGAGGGGTGAATTTGCCCATAGTTTTGATTTTAGTCGGGCGCCGCGCGGATCACGAAAATCCCCTGTAGTTTTGAATAGGACCTGGTGGTCTATGCGTTTATATGCCTGTGGACCGGGTATTTGTTGGTGCACACTGCGCAAGTGTTCGGCGAAGCGGTCATCAAGGCGACGCCTGGTCTCTCCGATGTACAGTTTGCCACATAATTGCAATAAACCACATTACTTGTAATGCATGTATGATCCCCGCGTATTCTGTAGCTACCGCGGGGGCCGACGACCGACGGGCTATTAACTATGTATGGGGCAAATGTTACACCTGGGGCTTTGACAAGGGGAATTGCGGCCTGCTTTTGACAGCGGCGAGACAGAATCTAATCGGGAACGTACAACCATGTCCCCGACAGAACGATCACGCCTAAACGCGCAAATCGGGGGTTCGGTGAAAATGGAAGCTTATTATATTTTATACTCTTGTCAATGCCCTGAAGGAGGTACTCAATTACCGAAAGCTCGGCAATTACCGTACATATTTCATAGTGCTGGTCATATAATATATTCTGATACAGTGCACGATATGGGGCCGATGGGTACCCCCCACATGTCCAATCTCTATACGCATTCTAGACTGTTGTTAGAGACACAACAGGAAGGCTTTTGATGTGTTACCGAACACATCCCAAAGAAATCTGTAAATAATTCCTGAGATTCCGATCAATGAGCAACACAAAGGCAGGGAGGCTCTCTCCGCCCAATATCTTGCATCATATGGATACGCCGTTCGATCAAAAAAGTTTCTACCTAAGCCAAGTTCGGCCTTGACAAGACAAAGCAAAACCCTCGGGGGCCGATGGGTACCCCCCCCCATTGGCCAATCTCCATACGCATTCTAGACTGTTGTAAGGGACACAACAGGAAGGCTTTTGATTTGTTACCGAACACATCCCCATTGAAATCTGTAAATAATTCCGGAGATTCCACCAATGACCAACACAAAGGCAGGGAGGGAGGGGGGCTCTCTCCGCCCCATATCTTGCATCACATGGATACGCCGTTCGATCAAAAAAGTTTCTACCTAAGCCACGTTCGGCTTGACAAGACAATGCAAAACCCTCGGGGATCGGACATCTCATTGGCATGGCCATAGTGGATTCAGAGTGGTAGAATTAGCCTTTTGGAAGCATGGCAGGCACAAAAGGAATGCTTTTGATTTGAGTCAGATAAAAATAGAAGGGGGAAAAGTGAAGTGGGTAAATTAAGAGTAGCCTTGCCACATGACTGGTTTTACTATTTTGACCGGTGCACCGTGCAGGCTACACGCGCTGGTGAGGTCAGCCGAATAGCACTACCAGTAGAGGGTACTAAATTTACAAGAGACGACCTGGTGAAGTCTGGTTCCCTGCCCAAATATTCCCTGACGACTCTTGATAAAAAGTCTTAGGTCTGGCATCACCCACGGATATAAACAGCTATGACGCAAGGGGTCAGGGGGGAGCGGGTTATCGTAGCGGTTCTTTCCTCGCTTTGTACCAATGAGGCCCGGGTTCGAGTCCCGGCTTGGCCTAGGTTTTAAGTGCATTTGGTTTCCAGTCCATACTCGCCCCGCGCAGGTTTTCTCCGGTACTCCGGTTTTCTCCTGCCTCTCAAACTAGACCCGTCATCATCGTGTCACTGTATAACTTAAACAGGACGACAAAATTTCATCTATTTTATTTAAAACAGTCAATCAAAATCCTGACTGCTTCTTCCCCGCAAGTGACAACAAAAGACAAATATTTAATTCCCATATAAAACCCAACAACGTAAGAGTGATGTGTACCTAGCATTATTTGTAAGGGGAAGGGGAATGGAGTAAAGGGGTAACATCTGTTGCTATAGGCCTTTTTCGTGTGAAGTCACGATCATGCTGGACCTATGATGTGTTGTGATGGTAATGAGTGCATAGTGTTGTGATGGTAATCTACAAATTCAAGTGTGCAGCGTTCGCACGTGCACTTGCACCTGGTTGAAGCTGCTTGTAGGAATGCACGCAATCACCATGGCTAAGGTGGTCCACACGTGGTAGCATTGTTCACCTTTAGTCACGTGGGTGAAAAAGGTCTATAGATGTGTAGCGTTCTATCTTGTAAGTTTGCTCAAAATCCAAGACAACGCTGAACACAGCCTCTTTTAAACCAAACAATGAGGTGTTTCACGGCAACTTTATTTTCTCTCAAGGTTTCTTCACCAGTTTGTGGACACTCTAAGAGCCTTTGGGTGTGTACTACGAGGGCGTGATTTTCATACGAAACCAATGTGACCTTACAAAAGGAAAACTCTTTGCCAAAAAGAGAAACCTATCCTCCATAAACGACAACACTGTTTACAAAATAAAACCCTCAAAAACAACAAAACGGCAAGACATTCAACATAATAAGATACTTGGGAAGGAAAATGCTGCTTTGATAACATTATGTACAATAAGCAGAACTGCTGGTAATAATTAATCCAACCAAGTTGCACAATATTTCTAGAACTTTTCTTTGGTGCAATTTGTAGTGGCACACAGATCGCAGCTAAGAGCTACCAAACACATGCTATCCATTGTTTTGGGTGGTGGCAAAGGGTAAATACTCCAAATATAAGTAACCTATTATTCTAGTGTCTTAGGGGAACCAAAATACCATCTCCATAGTGCAGTGTTGATGTCCGGTCCTTTTCTAAATCTTAGGTCGAGTTCGGACGGCCTGTTCTTGACACGGGTTTCTTGTTCTCGCGCTCGAACGTCGGGAACACGGCTAAAGAACACTGTTCCCAGAACAGCATCATGCACCACCTCGTCGTCAGGGTTTTACAGGAACACACGGGAAAACTTGTGAGATTTTGATTTTTGAACAGCCGCAAAAAATATCGAGATGGCTCACAAAGCTGGAGACAATGGGAAATTTTACAAAATTAACAATACTCATTTTCCACAGCAAAGAAATAAATGTTCCTTTTTAAATAGAAAAGAATTCAGCCCAGCTTTCCAAAGTTTACTCTGAAAGAACCTACATGGATGCCGCCATGATGCACGCAAAAACCAGCAATAACCGGTTGTACGTTCCCGGTGTTCGAGCGGCCGACTAACGAACTAGAAATCAAGTGGTTTGTGAACATACGGGAACAAGCCGCCCGAACTTGGCCTTATTGTTCAAGGTGAACTGTAGAGTAGGAACTGGATGAGGTAAAAAAATGCAAAAGTGGGGAATAATATTTGAGCATGTGATATCTTTAATACTGGTTGTGCTTGCCAAAATAAAAAAGGACAGCAGCACAAGGGGCATGCCTTCATTATTAACATCATCGGAGTATTGCTTTCTCTTTGTTGTACTGCTCACAAATTCTGAACAAATAGTACAGCGTCCAGACAGCCGTTTCACAATAGTGCGCCACCAAGAGTTGGCAACGGGTTGGCCAATCACAATGCGCGAAATTTGTCGACCCATTGCGCGTTTGGAAATGGTCGACAAATTTTGCGCGTTATGATTGGCCAGTGTGTTGCAAACTCTTGGTGGCGCACTATTGTGAATCGTTGGTATTGCCCAGTATTGCACAACAGAAATTTCCGAGGTCCTCACAACTGAGACTTTTGTAAAACAGATTTTGCCATGATTTGAAAGTGTTCCTTTCCCAAGTGTTGAACGTCTAAGCTATCCTACTAAAGCTACGTCAGCTTACTTCCCCTCGGGGATTGGTGTGACCTGCACAGCAAACGACCTCAAAATTATATAGCACACACAACAAAAGGTTACCAACTGGGAGGAAAATGATGTGGACCTTTGCAATAATTAATACAGAAACCTGTGACACCTCGCCGGAAAAGTATAACCATATACGAGTTTAAGAAATTCAAGTAAACTGTGGGGTTAGTAGCAAGAAGTCCCTCTAAAGAAATTCATGGCTCCTTCAATAACTTATTGAAATTCATAGTCCTCACTCTGAAAATAAAAGCTCTTTAATAAAACTAGCATCATTTGCTACTTTGCAATTATGAGCCAACATGTTTCATTCACAAGACTAAATTACACTACCTATTTGAAATCACACAAGAAGGAATAAAATTCACCAAGCTAATACTTTGCAGTCTTGTGACAATTCTTGGGTATTTCTATACACCCTAGCTGACCCCTTGTACCCTCTAAAAAGATGCTTCTAACTTCAAGTGTTTCAAAAGCACACAGGCTGTTTGACGTGCTTGTCCAAGCTTTTAAGCACGAATAGCAAAATTTCAGGCATTACTGTGACAAGTAGTAAAGGGGGAACTAAACATCAATTTCATCAAATAGCTTCGTGTACAATAATGCCCAGCAAATTTAATGACTTGGCCAAATTTGAGCAAAAACTAAGACCCGATCAAAATTGTCTGAGAATTTGGCTTGTAACAACTTAAAGAAGTTCCTCTAAATCTACTCAGAAAATATTTGCAATGCAAAAGCAGCTTACCAGTGATATTTAAAGGTATTCCATATTGCTTGTTAATGGTTCCCGTCAAATTTTTGCTAAGCAATACTTTCTGGTTAGAAGCGCCATAAAATTGGAGCATGTTGTTACTAAGCAACAAAAAATGGATGCTTTAAAACCACTACAAAATTAGAAGCATGTTGGATGGGGAACAATGTACAAAATATCCCACAGAATAGCCACTTTGCATTGTTTTCAGTAACATTTTATGCATCTCACTGTTGTCCTGGATACTGTGTCTACGGCAACACAACGGATGCCACCACTAACCTAGTCGCCTCGGCGTGAGGACAGATCTATTTCCCCAAAGCCTTGCTGAGGTTCTCAGAGATGGTATTCAAGAAATCCATGGTGTTCAGGTAATGCTCCGGCTTGACGCTGTTGACAGAGAATGAAATAAAGGGGGGGGGCAAGTTAGGAACAGATATTCTCACATCTGAGGACTATGCTATTTTAGAAGCTAATGATGGTGATCTATGCAGCAGACTTGCCACAGTCATAGGTTTTGCCCGCCAGATGCTCATAACCTGTGACTGGTCAGCGGTACAAAAAAAAACAGAAAAACAGGCAATACAAGTATTCCATAGAGAACCTCTTGAACACATGCCAGAACAGAATGGAATTAAGTGGGTTATTATGGAGGTGTTTGAAGTTATAACTGAAAAAAATTGAACATTCAGAAGGTAAAAACAGTGTTGTGGCTACGCCCGTCGACACCTGTCGGGAATCTCCACCACAGCGTTCTACCATCCGGAAACAGCCCACCAACCAGCACAAAAACACTTAAATATCCAAGAAAAAACAATAGTCCCTATGAAAATTTCATATTTTTACCTAAAAAATAGAATCCTTAATCAATTTAAAGCTTAGAAAAACTCTCTGAAAAACCGAACTAGAATCTCCTTAAGCGGGCCCCTCCGCTTGCCATTACTAAATTGTCCTGAACTAAAATATCGCTGGCTATAACACTGATGAACATCCTGATCTTATTTGAACACAAACTTAAACTGTTTCCATTCTTGACATGCCCCTTAACCATAAAAGAGCCGCAGAGAGGGGAGGGTCTCACTAGTTTTTTTCAGTATTGTCATAATGCATTTTTTCACGCACTGAATCTTAAGGCCTTTTCCAGTAACATTTGGCAGTGATTTTGGCACCACTTTTGTGAAAAAAAAGTGAGCCCCTAATCTGCACTCCTCCCATAGATGTATTCAATGCATGTAGGCTGACACGTAGAAGGCCATGAACTTCAAATGACCGCAAAATCAAACTCCTAGGTTTGTTTGAATTGAAACTTCATATTTGCACTGATAATGAGCATTTTCACATGCATGTGATATAATAATCAGACACATGAAAGCTGAGTTGGGGGGGGATATCCCACGGCTGTGAAATGGTCTAAAAAAAAGCCTGCCTCTGTTCGGTTTGTGCATCAAAGCTCCTAAGGGCCTGGCTCAGGTCCTCGGTTACCAGTAGTATTATTGCAGACACTTCATCTTCCCAGGTCGTCAGTCACAAAAGATGACAAGTAAACACCAATTTCAACCACACTGAATGGAACCAGCTGCACAAGGCAAACTTGAACCAGCGAACTTGAAAACAATTTTTCCTAGCAACAAAACACAAGATACACCCTCGTTCCGTCCCCAAATATTCTGAATTGTACCCTGTTTCCAACAGCATAATTCTGAGGGAGCATTTCCTTACTAAAGTTACTGTCAAATCAATATTCCCCGTACAAACCCTGTCATGGGATTTCCTGAGCATTGGTTCAAAGTTATTGTGGTCATAAAAACAAGGTTGTCAAAGTGGCCGTTCTACCACAATCTGAAAACCATTTATTATCCTTAAGAATCCGAGAGGTATTTTGATGGAAGATACAAAAATGGCTTAGGTGCTTTTGTTTTTGGAAGCCAATGTTTCCTATGGCAAAGTTATGACTATACATAGCTCTCTTATGCAAATGAGCTTTTCATAAAGACCCACACAGCTTGCTCAATGTGTACTAACTACACTTGCATGGTGGATCCATCTGGTCACTCCAAGTAGTGCACTCAACTTTACCCCAGTTGGAATAATCACGAAAAAGTTTACTGCATCCTTCAATGTAATGCCCTCCCCCTTCCCGGGCTTGACATTCCCCCTTCTGCTAACTTACTTCTTCAGTCCGTGAATGCATCCAGCCAAGTCCTTGGTCATCAGGCCAGAGTCTACGGTGTCCACACAAACCTTCTCCAGTGTGGTACAGAAGCGGGCCAGCTCTGGGTTATTGTCCAGTTTGGCACGGTGCTCCAAGCCCCGTGTCCATGCAAAGATACTGGCGATGGGGTTGGTGCTGGTTTGGTTACCCTATGGTCAAGACCAACAAACAAGCAAACATGTCTGCAGGGAACTCTCAGAGTAAATTTAAAAATGCAGTGCTCGGAGGGAACCGAGTTGTAATCCAAGGATCAAGTTTGCTGTTTGATTCCACACTTCACTGAGGGGAGAAATGTTTACAGAAAAACAAAACAAAAACACAAAAATCATTTCAAACTCACAACAGACAAGTTCCTGTAAATTCCCACCCAACTACAATTGGACTGACTCAAACTTTGCCGGCCCAGTTGGGTAAGCCCCAAGTACTGTTGTGGCAGTGCCCACAGTTGGGCCGACATTCCGCAAGTCCATCATTTGGGAAGCTTTCCTCCAGGTTTTACCTTCTGGTGTTCTCTGTAATGCCGGGTGACTGTTCCATGTGCGGCCTCTGCTTCGATGGTTTTGCCATCTGGACAAACCAGCACGCTAGTCATGAGACCCAGGGAGCCATAACCTAAGCAACGTTGCCAAGAAAATAAAAGACAGAAATTTTGCAAAGTTTTAACTTGCTTGCATCTACGTTTTGAATAGGGGAAATGTTAATTATACACTTGGAGATTTTGCCCTTCACTAATGTAAGTTTATAAACACAGTACACTCAGTGTTGTCTGAGGGCTTGCGAAAAAATATAAAACTCTTGTTTGCATGGGACTCGAACCCATGACCTAGGTTCAATTCTAAACTTGTTCAAGGATCTACACTTTTTTTCTTGAGCATCTTCAAAAATGCACCTTTTTCTTTTATTCCACCAAATGGTTGTATTTCTGCTTGTGAGCTCATTAATTTTCTGCAATCCCACAGGGTGTTTACAGTAAGGCATGGCATAATCAGGAGGTATCATAGAATTATTTCTATAAATCCCGAATTTGGGACTGATAATTTCCAGTTCCGGGTATTTCTTTTAAAAGTGGCGAAGGCTACATTCAGAGCTGAGCGCATAGTTTTTCTACTATTTTGGAGGTATCTTCGGGGAAAGGGGAATTAAAAAAATCTCATGGCTAACCCCCACAAAATTGTAACGAAAAGTGATCTTCTGGCCACAATCTTGAATTTCCAGTGAAAAAACAGAGGCCAACCTCTTCCCAAGAGTCAACAGGTAGCCCTATTTCGGTCTCATTTTGCAATGTTTTCTATGGTCGCATACATGTATTTAGTGTAGTGCAACCCATAGCGCGCGAACTAAACACGAAATCACAACCCTGACATCGCTGATGTCACAACTACCAATGACCAGTCAGAAAAATCAGTATTGCATCTTCATAGTAATGTAATGCGTATACACTCGCCATACACACTCAGCACGTCGTATGCGTGGGATGCAGATTCATGACTTGCATGTACCTCTACGATGCAGTGCATGAAAGCCTGTGCTGATTTAGATCTTGTATGCAGAAGCGACGTCAAATCATAGCGTTGTCGAGATGTACCGGCCACACGCTGTAGTACAGTAAACCATGGAGGAATGGCCCACAGTTAAGTGCGATCGCGCTGCAAAGGCGCTTCAAAACAGAAGTTTCAGACTTTTTACTGCCGCTGCATTCATAGACTTCAGCATTACTTCTGCTGGGCTGGTGCCAGGGACCAAACTATTCTTGGTTGCAAAAGGTTCTATTTTATTTGGTTCAAATTCCAACAGCATCTAGAGGGCGTGCATCGCAATCAACTATTTTGCCGCATATGTCACAATATTGTTTAACTAGACTGCCGGACTACCCAGACGAGGGCTTTTGCTAGACCACCGCGGTTTTTACTCGAGTTTGGCTAGCGGACCAGCGTTAAGGTCAAACCCTGGTTAATCTGCAAATCAACTGCTAAAACCACAGAACTGTGCAATAAGAAAAACTTCTGCCGATAATTTACTCTTCAAATGCAAGCTACAAAATAGGGCCAATTGTAAATGTGTTTTTCTCAACAAAAAAGAAAAGAGGCAAAAATTGAGATCCTTATGTCACAAAATGGAACGAACAGGAAATTTGAAGTAGCCAAGTATCCATTCTAAATTTTCAGTTTTTTGGTTTTGTAAGATCATAAGGTACTAATGTCTCAAGTTTGTTTTCGGTAAAGGACACTTCGTGGGACTAATAATGAATTTCAAATGTTTTTTAAAAAGTGCAGTTCTCTATATACTGATCTTGAAGAAGACGTCGAAGAGGTTTCACAGTTTAAAGAAGAGAACAAAGTTGCACAGAAATTATGGGTGGGGAGTTGAGGGGAATTGAAGACTCTGCCTGGGTTTTGTCAGTATTCACCTTGAGCCACAACATCTGACTGAACATCCCCGTCGTAGTTCTTGCAAGCCCAGACAAATCCACCGGCCGACTTGAGGGCTTGGGCCACCATGTCATCAATGAGACGGTGTTCATACCAGATGCCCTGATCCTCAAACTGGTTTATGTAGTTCTTCCTGGACATCAGATATAAAAAAACACTTTCCTCAAGTATTCCACAAATGGAGGATTTTGGAGCAAACGTTGTCCCTTTCACCCTTTTGCACCTGGGGACATGTAAATGCGATCTGGCATTCTGTACACACAGGCATAGCTGACGGGTTAAGACATCAAATGCCTGGATTCACATCCAGCTGATATTTTAAAAATGCAAATTAAATGTCACAGCCATTAGGCCAAAAAAAGAGTCTCCAGTTTCTGATCAAGAGCTGGCTCCCAATGGGGTGTGGCGATGCAGCGTTTTCTTTCACCCTCACTTTTTTCTGGAAATGATGTACGATAATGCGTGATGTCCATTGTGACTGCATGCACATGTAACTCCAGCCGTTACCAACACTAAAATAGACTGGCTCCTGCATTTTCACTGTTTAAAAGCATTTTCAGCTTGTACATGTATACAGGATATAAGACCACTTTGTTTGTCTGGTTCCCAGATGTATAATACAGAAATGACGTCATCTGAGAAAGAGTGCCCAACTAAATATATGGGGAACTATTACGGGGACTCCTATACTGTACATAATACTCAACTGTACCCCATCTTAACACAATAAAATTACGAAGTAGCATGATTCCAGTTGATTAAGCAAGTTTGGCAGCTTTTGGACATTCTTTTGTATAAAAAAAAAGACTTTTTATTTTGCCAATGTGCAGGTCTACGACGATGTGCGCGCTGACCAGAAACCAGAGACTTTGGGGGGGGGCCCTAAGCAGATCAGAAAGTCCTGAGCTGTTAATCACCAGATTGGGGTAAAAAAAGTAGAAAGATATGTGCTCACAGGTAGATGTCCTCAAAGATGTCTTTGAAACGGCCGTCATACTTCTTGAGAATGGTGTTCTTGGTGCTGAGATACAACGGAAACTTCTTGGAAAGGGCATACTGGAAACAGCTGTGGGCAAATCCTTCAATGGACTGCAAGGCAAGATAAGATGAGTTTCATTGCTGAATTCATTTCAGAATGGTTCAGAGAGACGAGTGTGCGTAACAGACTAACGCTAAATCTCGCACTTTCGTTTGCAGCAGATGCAGTGGTCTGTACCTCGTCATTGTTGTACATGCCCAGACCGCAGCCGCCTCCAGAGAATTTGTAGACTGGGAAGACTCGCTTTTCGCCTCCACCCTCGGGGGTGAACACCAGGTCAAACGTGCCGGGCTCGTCGGTCACAAAATCTGTTGCACGGTACTGCAAATAGTACAGAGATGAGACTTTCAAGTTTATGTCCTGGGGCAAATGTTAAGAGCAGAATGCTGCTACAATGCAAAGGAAATCAACAGTAGCTGAGCTTACTGTCAACACATCAGGCTGTGGTTGTTTTCAACGGTCTTTCAAGTCTGTGTCCATCTCTTCTGCTGACTGTTTAATGCGACTCCATGGATACAGTTGTTCGTTAATGAATTTTCCCTGAATTCTTCAAAATCAAATGATGTGCCAGAGCGAGATATTGTGGTCAGACAGCGGCTGTATTCTGACCACTTACGGCATTTGCTTGACCCAAAGCACATGTGGTCAAACAAAATGTCCTCAGGAGATGCAAAGCTCTATGTAAAAATACAAAAATTAAAATGCTATCCAGGTGTTTCCTCTTGCTTTTCTTTTTATGACATTTAAATTGTAAAAGGTTGCTCTCATAAGACCTTGGTATCAGTATATATGATCAACAGCTGATATTGTCAGAATGAAATTGAATGTACGTTTTGTCAAACCAGTTTTTTTCTAGCTTAATTTCCTGCACTGCTGTCATGCACTGCGAGCAGCAAACCAACGGCACATCCTGCCGAAACAAATTTTGGATATCAAGAAGCAAGTCAGACAATGGCGGCTGGTTTATAGATGACTGAGTATGTCACAATCATTAAGAAAAGTGAGGCCTTGTGGACAAGGTAGGAACTTGAAGGTGTTAAAAAATGTTTGAAAAAAAAAGAAAAGAGACAAATTTTGAAAATCTGCTCTACATTTCCATACCAGTTACATGTCCAAGAATGACAAAAAGTTAGAAATGATGACAGCAATAAATGTTTCTGGACTTCTACTTTTGCTTCAAGAACTACAGAGAACTCTTGAAAATAACGATTAAAAAATTTATCCACCAATGGCTGCAGCCTCACCTGATCTCCAAAAGCGTGGCGACCAATGACAATAGGCGCAGTCCAGCCGGGGACCAGACGAGGGATCGTCTGACACAGAATCGGTTCACGGAACACGGTGCCACCTATGATGTTCCTGATTGTGCCGTTTGGGCTCTTCCACATCTTCTTCAAATTAAATTCTATCATTTAAATTTGAAAGGAAAAAAAAATGACTGACACAGCATTTCCAAAATAGGGTTTTGTATCTCCTGAACTCAGGACAGTTACATGTACTTTGCTACCGATATCAACTTTTCCATTGGTGCCATTTCTTCTGTCTGTAAACTGTAGCACTATGGACTACAGTTAGAAATAACCTTCAGCTGTCAAAAATGTAGAATGCAGCTGATAATAGCAGACACTTTAGCCATGCCTAAAATGAGCTTCCAGAGTTACATGTATGGCTACATGTGTACATGTATACAAATGCCCACATATTAAAATGGACAAAGATATAGCCGAAGCCGTAGCCAACAGATTTGGAAGTGGCCTCAAATTCCTGGCACTGTCGCTTGGTGTCTTTCAGCCAGTTGTTTCTTCTCATGCGAAGGCACCGTAGGTTTGTTCAAGATAAATACTGATCAAATACACATACATGTACAAGTATTCGATCTGTCCTTCCCACAAGAGAGTGCATGGAGACACCCATCTGTTCTTACTCTTGAGAGTCACTTGACTGCCATTTGAGGCACCTGCACACTGTCTACAGTGCAGACATTGGTAAACAAGTGACAATGATAATATGCAAACATTACAGATTTATGCCCTACACGACAACTTTCTTGAGCATTACTGTAAAGCCATTTGTTCCCACCTTTTAATTTTCATCTTCAAGATTTAGTTTTGTAAATTTATTTCTCTCATATTGAGAAAAAAATTCCATTTTCAAGATGTATTTTTTTGCATGAGAGATGTTAATTTATATAACGGGTTTTGCCCTTACCCAACGTGTATATTAATATACACTGTATGCTCAGTGCTTGCCCGAGAGCTTGTGAAAAAAGTCACAAGCTTACTCGGGTGGGACTCAAACCCATGACCTCCTGCTTACTAGTGCAAACGTCTTAACCACTCGACCACCGAGCTTGCCGGGGTCGGCTGGCCGATCCGAGTCAGGTGAGGCAGCGGGTACCGCGAACTATTTTCAAGATGTATTTTTTCGTTGGCGAGATGTTATGTAACGGGTGTTGCCCTTACCCAACGTGTATATTAATAAACACTGTATGTTCAGTACTTGCCCGAGAGCTTGCGAAAAAAGTCATGAGCTCTCGGGCAAGCACTGTATGCTCTCGGGCAAGCACTGAGCATACAGTGTTTATTAATATACACGTTGGGTAAGGGCAAAACCTGTTATATGAAAAAAAAAATCCAGTTTTGACAGGTCTTTATACCTGGAAGTTGCCACGGTCAGTAACCCAAACTGTTCCGAACCCATTCCATTGATTTTTGGGTACTGCTGTCAACATTCATTAATTTTGGGCCTTTATAAATCACTTCAATCTGCAGATTTCCCCTCAATTTTTATATATCATAATTAAAAAACCTTTTTTCTTGTTAATTTTTGGGCCATCAATTCTACGTTTTGCACATCTTTGGTTATGCTGACTGTTCAAAAACTACTGGACGTGAACACAGCACATATCAAAATAGATGGTGGCAACTAAGACGTTGCGTCATACTTTATTTCTGTGGATGATTGCTACCCGCTGTCATGTTTTGATACGGCAGAGAATCAGCCAAACGAGTTTAGACTCTCTGACTCAATGTAACTCCACTTTCTGTCTCATAAAGTTCACAATGTCTGCTACGGTCGGCCATTCCAACCTTTTTTATTAAAAACCTAGAAATCTCTCTACCTTTCACCCTCTCCTCATCTGGAGTGATGGTGGCACACTTGATACCCACGTTGTACTTGAGAATGGCGTTGGCACAGTCAATGGTGACCTGGTCATTTGTCTGGTCTCGGTAGGGTAGGCCAAGGTCAAAGTACTTGATTTCTAGCTTCAGATAAGGGAAGATCAGCTGTAACAGACAGGAAGAAGTAAGCACAGTGACTTTAAGAAGTTGCCTTAACTCTTAAACGGTTAATACACATAACGGTAAATACAATCACCTTTCTTGTTGGACATTATAAATTGTACCTAACCTAGCTGGAAAGACTGACTCTCACGCTGAAAGTACATGCAAAATGTGGTGACATAACTACAGTGCTGGTGCCCGTCAGGTGGGTGCACCTGCTCTCTAGTAGAAGTCCTCCCTCCCCCTCACCAGTGCCTTCCAGGTGGATATTTTGCAATGTGCACATCCTGTTGACACATGTTCAAGCCACACTTCATTTGCTTTCAGTGCCCTTTGAATAAATGTGAGCACCACCCAATGCACCCTCAGATATTTCCACCCCCCTTACGCTACTGAGTAAGTCTATTAAAATGGGCGTGTTCATTGTGCAATGTACATGTGCATGCTTGTGCACATTGCACCCACCATCATGACCATGTTTAACATGCAAATTTCAGTCACAGTTTCAGATATGAGTGTCGGATATACAAGTCAAAACTGCACTTTGAAAACATTCATCAAGCTTAATTCTTAGTCAAACCATTTGGAAACAGTTGCTGATACATGCACATTTTCATTGACTGCGAGCACAAAACATCGACTGTCAAACTTTAAAATCAAAACATTTGAAACCCAAAGTATAACTATGTGTACATGTGGAAAGCAGACAGAGGAGGACTGCATTTCAATGGACACGCACAGCTAGTGCAAGATAGTCGGTGGCATTCAAATTAATTTTGAGCATACATGTATGCTTCGGATTCGTTTACAAGGCAGTAGGCCTAGAAGGCACTTGACATTTAGTGTAGCTGCTTAACTCAGCGTTTACAGTGTGACATGTTTTGGTCACATGAAATCATAATCAATCTACATGTAAACAGACTTTAAGTTGCCCAGAAATGTACTGCAATTAGGTTCAAATGATTCTTGTCTTAATATCTCAACACCAGCACAGATTGTGTCCAATGTCTAACTGTGCACAATTCAAGTTTTATTTACACTTATGCTTTATTACCAGAATTTCAGGTAGAGCATGCGATGAGTTCAGGACACAATTCAGGTGAGAGGCCAAAAGAGCACTGCAAGAGCAGCACAAAGAATTCCTGCCTGATAACATTGTTAAGTCTATAATGTCACCATCTGCACTGTGGCTTTATTGACAGTCTGTGTTGTACAAATAATTTATTATCTTTCCATTGATGTTTACCAAGCACTTGGGCAGAGAGGGCGAGTTGGCCCTGTGACACAATCAAAGTAAACGAGGGATGTTATTTACATGGGACAGAAGCCTGGGATTCCCTCCCACCTCCTCTCTCAGGAAAATAAGTGGAGCTGCCACCCACAAACTAAAGCTCGGACAACCCAGTCCAGGTCCAGAGGTGGGAGGAAGTGGGAAACACATATACATGTATATCAGTGGGATTCTGTCTCAACAGTGGAGCTGGGATCTCAAAATTCACCTTAGCCATCAATACCAGGCCCTGCCCTGCTCCAATTTTACAGAGCTACATGTAAGCACAAAATTCTGCAAGACAAAGTGATGTACTGAGCAACACTGAACAGAGTACCAGTTGAGGGCCATATCCCCAACATGATATTTGGGCATGTGAGCTGTTTTTGCTGAGCACATATTTTCTGCCCTTAGCTTAGTGGCTGTTAAATGAGCCAGTTTGGCGTTTCAAACAAGTAAGGGCCCATTTCACGGTGCTGCTTTCCGCAAGCGAAAAATCGGTGCTTTCTGTGAATTTCTGCACTAGCCTTTTAAGCGTAGAATCATTGCTCTTAGAGCCCATGAAACAGATTCTGTGTTAACAGTGCCTCGTACGCGCAGAATTCCACGGTAAGCAGCGCTGTGTAATTGGGCCAAGGTCAGTCAATGACAAAGCATGCATGCGAGTCAGCGGTGTGGCAAGGCAGGCCTCATGCTCTTGTGCATGTATTGCGCTTCCCAGAATGCCCTCAGACATGCTTCAATTTGGGCACACACCACTGGAATACCGAAGCAGCTAGCTGGCCCCTGCTGCAGTCTACAACAGTACTGATTGAGACTTTCACACTTCTATGCCGAGAATTTATCAACATGCCCAGACAAAATAATGCCATAAAACTGACAAAATGCCAATGGACCAACCGTTTCTTTGATCTTCTCCCAGATGACCCGGGTCATCTCGTCACCATCGAGGTCGACCACCGGATTGGCTACTTCAATTCGACTTCCATTGGCATCTGGTGGAGAAAAAACAGAGAGCAAAATTTAGAAGCAAAATGACAAGATACCACAAATCAAAAATGAGAAATTCTGTCACTGGCTTTTCATAAATAAGAGTTGTTTTCGTTGCTTTTGAAAATTCGGATTTATCATCCCAGTGAGGAATACAGCCATAAAGACCCAATTTCATTGAACATACATGTACATTTAAGTTTTCTATAAATTCCTACAACTTACTCTCCCATTTTTTGTTTTCCGAAAGCAACACTTTGCAATCATACGCTGCATCCATTTAAAAAGATGCATCAGGCTGAAATCCAACTTTAGGTTGTACTTATCTAAATCTGACACAATCTTCCAAAACCCTCCAATGAATTTTGAGGGGACTGCCAAGGTGAAGTGGAAATAACATGGATGTAAAGCATGAGACACTCAGTTGCATTATCACAGATACCAATGAAAGATAAGCATTAAAGTAAAAAAATATTTAAAAAATTAAAATAAATGCATTAGGATATTCCTTTCCCCCTTATTCCAGATCCCTTCATGTGGTTACTGGATGAAACCTTTCACTGGCTTTTGGGCCTGACAAATTGTTTGAAACTTCTGCAGAGCATTACGAAGTTGGGCACAGATGCCTTTTGCAAAAAAAACCGTGAAGCATGATGTTTGGCCATCATCACCTTTTCTTGTCTACTTCTTGAAGGGGAAGGGATTCCGAGGAAAACGTATTAATGAATAAAGCCAGCGGCAAACAGGGCACGACGAGGTCATATGAATTTCATCGGTGTGCATGACTAAGTTAGTCAGTTTCCTATGAGTCAAAAACGTGTAGGTCGGTATCCTGTAATGTATAATGGGAAATTTCCCTACTGCTAAGAGCAAGACTATGTAAGGATGACTACATGCATTTCAGCTCTTGGTAACACTGAACGTCTCATGCATTCACGTACTACTCCTGCTATTTACAAATACAGCATATATATGACAGTTTATAAAATGGCTCTTTTATTTACCAATACACGTATTTCGTGTTTACACGAAGTACTCATGTTTTACATATATGCACTGCCTTGCTAATACATGTATACATGTATGTGTATGTTTCAAACACTGACTGGGGTTTATTGTCCAGATTCCCCAGGTACATGTATTACAACTAGGATCTGGAGTGACCAAGTTTAACGTGCATGTACATGCCACCATGGTATTTGTTGGTCATGGATGACCCTCCTCCAAAGGCTACTCAGTCCCATGAATCCTTTCATTTTTCTTTGTTTTTGGTGGTTAAGTTGAGTGTCCTTGTGAGTATGGTGGCTGTTTCATTAGTGGCAAAATACATGTATATGGGTCTTTCTTTTAATATGGGGGTCAATGAGTATTTCATGGACATCACAATTATCATGACCATTCAAAACAAGACCAGTTTCACTTTCCCATTAATTTTCATATATATATTTGTCAATTAAGGTTTGTTGATTACATTCAATTCATTTACATTAAAAAATGTTGATTTACACAATAACTGTAAGGGAAACCTCATCGTTTCTCACTGTTTTTTCGGTATTCTGTGTGACATTTTTGATGACCTGTTTCATAAGACATTTGATACCACTGGCAAAACAAATTAATCGTTTATTTTCCAACTAAGCTACGGTATCAACAGAAAGGTAAATTATGATATCAGATACATGTACATCTCCTAATGAAATTCATTCTAATTGAGAATACAGGTGCTGTCATAATCTGATATAACAAGGTAACATTTTGTTCCTCCAGTTGTTACGAAATTAAATTCATTCTTGGCTGCTAAAAAAAAAAGCAGTTACGATTCATTTCGAAAACCTAAAATATCAACTCTAAGTACCCCCCAAAATACTTCCTACCAACTCGTATCTGAGATCCCAAACATTTCTGAAGATATCCCTGTTAATTCTTTATATAACGGGTTTTGCCCTTACCAAACGTATATATTAATAAACACTGCATGCTCAGTGCTTGCCCGAGAGCTTGTGAAAAAAGTCACAAGTTTACTCGGATGGGACTCGAACCCACGACCTCCTGCTTACTAGTGCAGACGTCTTAACCACACGACCACCGAGCTTGCCGGGATTGGCTGGCCGGTCCGAGTCAAGTGAAGCAGCGGGTACCGCGAACTGATTTCAAGATGTATTTTTTTTTAAATACAATCCTGAACTCTGTTGTTTCCTGCAATCGTCCGTACAGTACCGTCATGACTGTATAAACATGTAAATGATATCAACGTCGGATAATGTGCCAAATGTTGAGCCGCACCTCAACTGTTTGTTGGTTTGTGGCATTTTAACATCAATTGATAATATGGAGAATGTCAGGAAAACGATTCCTTTTCAAATCAGTGGAGCAGAATAAATGGCTCACGTCACACTGCTCTCAGATCAGCACCAACAAGGAAAAGAACAGCTTAAATAAAAGATAGAGATACTGAGTGCAATTCCTTCAACAGGGCTTGGTCAACAACATACATAGTACCGAGTTGGTTCTTAACTTCACAGTAATTGGAACGTATGAAGTACAAAGAATCATGCACTTTCCTGAGGCCGCATCTGGTATCAAATTCTAAGGTCCATCGGAGGGTGCCCTCCTGAGATTCTGAAAAAACAGGCTGCTGTGGGAAATGGACTTTCCACAGGCCCGAGTAATCCGTGAGTGGACGCACGGAAGAATAATCACCACGATGGAATGTTAACAAGCAGTCGCTGTCTTTTTACACTTCTTAGTCCAATGCGAACACGGTACACATGTACATGTATATACAGTCAATAAAAATGGAAAACTTGAGTACATGCAGTTTCAATTAGCATATTAGAATTCAGCACATCAAACTCCATGAGAAAAAAACACATTTCATCTCTGAGACTGAAGAAAATAACTTTTAAAAATTGCTGGCTGGTTTAATGAGACTGAGATTTCTTACAGGATCAACTGATACCACAATGCAGTGCAATCAACTGCACAAGTCTAGATCCCCTGATCACTGAAAAGAATTTCCATTCATGGAAGTTTTTAACCAATTCACGCCAGATTACATGTTGACACAAAGGGATTTCCTGCGTTGTAATACAGAGGACATTCTAACACGTGCTTGAGAAGTCTGTACGTAGTGGTGTATGACACCTACACTCACTGCAGCGCTTGAGTGATTGCCTTGATTTTGTACACACTTATACCGGTAAGTTTTGGTCTGTTGGCTTTTAGGTGGTGTACAGTACATGTTTGTGTTTTTGTCCTCTTGTTGTCCGGTTAGTTTATCTTGTTATTTGGCTTTTCATGCTATGATAGTGCAGTCCGTTTTGGCTGTATTTTTTTTAGGAGCTATTGTTTTTTTCACTCAACAATTTCTATGGGAATATTACACGTATATTAATTTTATGTATTACAATCTTTGTCATTTTAGTATCTTGTGTAAGCTTGCTTTTTGTTCCAGCACTGCAACCAAACAAGCACAGTGAATGTTTTATGGACTTGGAAATCTTACTGATAAATCTTCCCATTTTCCACGCTTTATAGCAATGAGGAATTTCTATGAATGGATGGAATTAAGACCCATATAATCAGACTTTGTTTCCGTTAGAAAATCATTCAGAGCCACGAATCAAAACAGAAAGTTAAATATCCTGTAATTTAATGTAGGATGTAATTTTTATGAAGAGTATATTTTACTGTCAGCTGGTCACATTTTATTTTTCTTTTAAAACACAAGCATTTATCAAATACCACATGGTCTTGTGTATATGGGTTGTGGTGCAGTATAAAAGCACATGGCATGCTTACTGATAAAAGTGCACCACGACACCAATTCAATATAACGCTCAAAATGGTGACTTTTTAAGGCATGTCGCGAAAGAAAAACAATGAATGATGGCCCTCAGAATCAAAGCCTGGAACTTGGAAGCCAGGTTTGAAGCCACGAAGCTGTGTGTGCAAACCACAAGACTAGGCCCACCCATCCTATACATGTAATGTAGGTCAAGTAAATGGCACAACTGCAGAATACCCTGCCACTCACCGTGCCCACCTCGTAGTCACGGATACGCGGATACGGAGTCATGCTTCCATCCACAAGGCCCACTTCATGTATCCGCGTAACCGCTCCCCGGGACCCACATTAGACTTAAAAGAATTTTAGTTTTCCCTGGTGAGTTGTAATTAAATTTAAGTGAGTGCTTCGTTCTCAAAAATGACTTCAATACTGTACACAACACGTACCTTGCCGCAGCAAGGATAACCCGGAAGTTGAACAACCTCCACTTGACTACGTAGCCATGGATTTTTAGGGGGTATTTTCGCATGGCGGGGTATTCTGTAATTACTCCAAGTAAATACACGACATACAAATACAATACACATGTTATACAGGAATTCCACTGGGCATGTTAGGGAAGGGGTAATGATAATTACATCATTGTATCGGTTCAATACTTCGTCCCCCTCCCCCACAAGATTAACATTTAGGTTAGGCACTAGCTTATGTAGCTGGGTCATTCCATGAGGTTGGGGCACAATTTGTGATAGTGTCTATTGTTTACGTGGGTTTCCTAAAAATGAACAGCTACATGTATTTCCCTGCATGTGGATTTCAAACTGACATTGTTAAATGTTACGAAGTGGCTATCGTTACGGCAGTCATAACGCATTTCTCATTTTCTCTCGTTACGGCACTGAACTGCGCAAGTGCGATGACGTAGCTGATCCTCACGATGTTTTATATATTTTAAAATTACCTGGATCACTGAACGCTTGTGGCCGAGTGGTCAAGGTGGAAGGTTTGGAACCACTGGTGTGTGAGTTCGAATCCGCACTTGGACCATTTTATTTCTTTTCGTCTAAATTTCATGTTTTATACCATAATCGTTTTTTTATGTTGGTTTCTAACTGTATAACTATAGGCCTAAGCAGGAAGCTTTTTTCTTTTCTCATCGGTGGCTTTGGAGGATTTTTTTAAAAGGGAAATAAAGTCCGAAATCTGCGCTTAAGTTGGTGTACTTGCACAGTTACAGTACCGTAATGATAGAAAATGGGAGATGTGTTACGGCTGCCACGGCGTAAATGTTATACATCTTGCAAGGCTGAATAAAGTCAGAGGTGTGTTAATTTTACAGAGTAAATGACCTACTCTACATGACAGGTGGTAAAAGTTACCCATGTAACATAAACTAACATGGACACTGTCACAAACTGTGCCCCAACCTCATGGAATGACCCAGCTACATGTACGCTACGATCGAGGAGTACGGCTACCCACTCCATGCATGCAATTCTTTACAATGTCATGAGGTCATCTGGCATGCCTGGTCATGAACGTGACAAACCACGGACAAACTAACATGATGAACGATCATCCATATTCTTAGTGAAGTAAAGACGAACAGCCCCGATAAAATGAGAAATGAGCGTGGAACTTACACTGCCGCGTTTGGCTGAAATTCACCATTCCCAATAGACCACATCTTGGCGATTCTAAGCGGCCCAGACTTGCTAGTGATCGACATATTTTGGCAACAGAACCTGCCATTTTTCCCGCGTGTCAGTCACGTTTTCCCGCAGAAGTGAAAAGAAAGCGCATGCACGTTTTATGTGCCGGCCGGCGCGACCGGTATACACGGCACGGCATGTGTAGGCTACGCGAATCACCCGTTGGCGGCGCTGTCGCGCCGGATGGGGGGCCCGGGCCGGGGATGGCCCCTTGACCTTCTAGTTGGTTCCCGTTCCATGCTGGTTGCTTAGTGAAAGTTATGAAATTTGTCACCAGTTACTACATGTACAAATGTACCGCAAACACGTCAAATGACACGAACTACACGTCCCTGAGAGAATTATCAATCTGCCGGTAACCGGTCATCAGCGTGGCCGTGGATCGATTTTCCGCCAGGTACAGAGGGCTCGCCGACCGATTTTGGTGGAACTCTCTGCTTCCGAAACTCCCTCTACCAGCTGTGGAAAAGTCTCCTGGAATTAAATTGCTGTTTTGCGTTTAAAGGTGATATTATCCTTTTCAATTTAGTAGCTTTTGAACCCGTTTGAGTGGGGATATGATCGGCATGTTGTTCATCCCATTTTGAAAAATTTCGAGTTCGTGACTTTCATTCATGTCATTCAGAGTCTTAAGAGTTCAGGCCTGGTGAACGGATAGGTAACCACTGACTACTGTGGTTCAGGCTCTGCTTTTTTTTAAAAGTAAGGTTTTTACAAACCTTATATTACAGATAGTGATCTGTTAAGTGTCATAGCTACAATGTAAGTTGGGGATTGTGTATCTGGGGACACTATTACTAGGCCCAATGTAATGATGGGCATTGGAGACCTTGTTGCAACATGCCTTGTGCTGGACCCTAGCATGCCCAGGTCAGTCGGCATATGTACATGTAGGAGGATTGGGGGGTGTCAGGTCAACTCGACCGTTTGCCAACTCGACTCGAGTCAACTCTACTCTTGACCAACTCGACTCTTGACCAACTCGACCGTGCAAATGATGCAACAGGGACAGGGCATTAGAAGAAACGCATTTTTCCTAGTTCTGGATCGCGCATGTAATTTGTTTTACTGTGCGTGTTGTGATCTGCACATGCGCACAGTGTGGTGACAGATTTTGGGGGTTTGTGCGTGTGTGCTTCTTCTCAAATTGGGAAAATTATTTTGGAGTATCTCATTGGCACAAGTTCATTTATTGATTGCATTTCAATTGATTTCGTGGGTTCATTGAGCCGAAATTAGCATCCATAAATTTCGCGATCCGGAACTGATCCGATCTTCATTTTTGCCCCTTTTAATATCTATTTTTCAAGGAAAGGGTTTGTCTAATAAACCCATGTATCAATTATGCGGTCGAGTTGCCTCGACTTTGAAGTCGAGTTGGTCAACGGACGAGCTGGTTCAACGGTGGAGTTGGTCGACGGTCAAGTTGGTCAGGAGTGGAGTTGACTCGAGTTGAGTTGGCAAACAGTCGAGTTGACCTACAACTGATTGGGGACCCCATGCCCGTTCTACACTAGACAGCAAAAGAAACTTGCCACTTGAAATTGGATGTCACCGATTGGACGTACTGTACTGCACACCATGATAGCGCATTGGGTGGACTTGAACATTGATGGATTATTGGTTGGACGTGTTCCTATATAGTTTTCTCATTATTTTCCTCATTGAATTGTAATGATGGTCCTAACCATGTACAATTACATGTATGTGTGATAAAGGCACCAGTGCGTGAACCAACACGTGTGCATGCTCTATTCGTTTGCATTATACATGTACTTTCTGGTTCAAAATGATGTCACACTCCAGCACCCTAGAATGGCACAACCATTCCACACAGTTTGTGTCCTTCCTGTCCAAGACTCAAGGGATCTGTGTAACTTGTACAAACGTGTACACGCATGTAGCCAGGATTGTACATTGATGCCAGCTGTTTTAGGGTTGATGTACACTATAGCATCAGCTACATTGTACAAGAATGAGCAGCAATAGCACATTTGCCAACCGTGTACACGTGGGTATTACCACAAATTAGGGGTCCAAAAGTGTGACATTTTGTGTCCCTGTTACATCTGACTTCTGTTATTTGACCTGGAAATATCACTAGAATTGATTACAAACTATTACTATTTGTTTGGCGGATTATTTGCATTAACTCCTCACTCTTGGAAATTAGAAAATGTGTTCTGAACTTACAAATCATCTGTCGGATGTGACAGGGACACGAAAAAAAATGGACCACTAATTTCTAGAATTACCCATGTATAAAATGTAGACGTTCGAAATTTGAAAAGGAGGAAAGTTCTATATTTCAGTTTTTGCCTAACCTTTTGTGTCAAAATTTCCAAAATCGCCTAAAATGCAGCAAAATTTGTGCGGGCTGGCAAGCTTGATTTTCACCCCTATAGTTGCTGCTGATGATTTAGAATGTCTGCCAGGGCCAGCCAGCGTAGCTACTGTATGATTATCCCTGCATGTAGCCATCATAGGCTGACAAAAAAGGAAAACATTCATGTGTAATGTGCACACTCTCGGGGGACCAAATTCCATTTTGGACTAAATGACATGTACATGTGCTCGTCACTTGCTTTACTTGTCTGTTGTTGCCTTGAAGAAAAGAAAATGAAACCAATAGTCTAAACAGTCGCTTTGACCTTGTTACTACTGTAGGTTTGATAAACATTTCTGATCATTGTGTGCTTGACTTCATTGGACTGTACTTGAGGTTTGGGTAAATACGGTAAGACTGTCAATGCCCAAATAATTCAAGTCCAGGGTGGAAATGCCATTTCAACCCAGTTATTTTCTGTTTCTATACAGGAGAACAGCCAATACTGAGGCACCATGTTTCGCCTACTGCGGACTGTCAACCATGTGGACGTTGCCACAACTTCCCGGATTCACAAGCTGGTCACCACCCGCTCTAGGGGACTCAAAACATCCCTCTTCCGCAGTGCTGAAGCAAAGGACCCACCCCCTGCACCCAAAGGGACCCCCTACAGCGAGTTGCGGATTGGTGTCCCAAAGGAGTCCTTCCCGAATGAGAGGCGTGTAGCCTTGTCACCTGCCGCTGTGCAGGCTCTTACAAAGGGGGACGGCTTCAAAGTGGTTGTGGAAGATGGAGCTGGACTCTCGGCCAACTTCCTCAACAAAGACTATGAAGAGGCGGGGGCCACCATCCAAGGGAGGAATGAGGCATTTGCCTCGGACATTGTGCTGAAGGTCCGGGCCCCAGCCATGGAAGAGGTGGACCTTCTTGCCGAGCGGAAGAATCTCTTCAGCTTCCTGTACCCGGCCCAGAACAAGGAGCTCCTGGACAAACTGGCTGCCCGGAATTCCACAGTGTTCGCCATGGACTGTGTGCCCCGCATCAGCAGAGCCCAGGTCTTTGATGCACTAAGCTCCATGGCTAACATTGCCGGCTACAAGGCCGTGGTTGAGGCTGCCAACAACTTTGGCAGGTTCTTCACCGGCCAGATCACGGCCGCAGGGAAAGTACCGCCAGCCAAGGTGCTGGTCATCGGGGGGGGTGTAGCTGGTCTGGCCGCCATGGGGACAGCGAAGAGCATGGGGGCAATTGTCAGAGGCTTTGATACCCGTGCAGCTGTCAAAGAACAAGTACAGTCCCTTGGTAAGTACAGGTGAGGCGTACCTCATGTAAAAGTAGTGGTAATGGTGCCCAGTTGACCATCATCTCTGAATTTGTTCGTGTTCATACTTACAGGAGGAAAAATGTACACATCAAATAGAGGTTTTAAAACCTACTGGTAACCCCGAAACATTTCGTACTGAATGCTGATGCCTTGATCTTTTGTAATCAGGAAATGATCTCAAAATTCATTTTACAACCTCATTTCTATGAAAACTGAATTTTTGTTTGTCCAAAAGGAAACTCAAATATTTTGAATTGATTGAAACAACGTACTGCTTCAAAAATTAGAATGTAGTCAGAATTATCTCTTAAAATAAATGAACGTGTTATTGACTAAATGGGTATCCCCTTTAAGGAATAAGTTTTTTTTTTTTTTTGTTGTTGTTGTTAATCGTGCCATGTTTTCAGGAAAATTTTTTAGTACATGTACAAATTATCTGAAGTGTCATTGAATGCATTGACCATCAGGTGCGGAGTTCTTGGAGCTGGACTTCGAAGAATCTGGCGAGGGTGTTGGGGGCTATGCCAAGGAGATGTCGCCCGAGTTCATCGCCGCAGAGATGGCCCTCTTCGCTAAGCAATGTAAAGAGGTTGACATAGTTATCACTACTGCCCTGATCCCAGGCAAGAAGGCGCCCGTGCTCATCACCAAGGAGATGATTGAGTCAATGAAGGAAGGCTCCGTTGTGGTGGATCTGGCATCCGAGGCAGGCGGCAACATTGAGACCACCAAGCCAGGGGAGCTGTACAAGTACAAAGGGGTCACTCATGTAGGCTACACAGATCTACCCAGTAGGCTACCCACCCAGTCCAGCACTTTATATGCTAATAATATCAGTAAATTGTTGATGTCCATGGGGGAGAAGAAGCACTTTGATATCGACCTGGAGGATGAGGTGGTGAGGGGCTCCATTATTCTGCACGAGGGCCAGATGATGTGGCCCCCTCCAGCCCCAAAAGAAGTCCCAACCCAGCCTGCACCAGTCGCTCAAGCCGCTGCCAAGAAAGAGCTGGCAGAGGTTCCAGTTAATCCCTTCACTGAGACTCTGAAGAGCTCCCTGATGTACACTCTGGGGCTGAGTGCACTGCATGGCATAGGGGTGCTGTCGCCCGGCGCCGCCTTCAACACCATGCTGACCACATTCAGTCTGGCTGGTATCGTTGGCTACCACACTGTCTGGGGTGTGACACCAGCGTTGCACTCTCCTCTGATGTCAGTCACCAACGCCATCTCTGGCATCACTGCAGTTGGCGGGCTACTGTGTATGAGTGGGGGTTACTTGCCAGACTCCTTCCCTGGCACTCTGGCAGCCGTGGCTGCTTTCATTTCCTCCATCAACATCTTTGGCGGCTTCCTCGTCACCCAGAGGATGTTAGATATGTTCCGTCGCCCTGGTGACCCGCCAGAGTACAACTACCTCTACGCCATCCCAACTGTGGCTGCCATCGGCACATACCTGGCGGGTCACCTCTCCGGATATGACATACAGAACATTGGCTACCTTGCTGGCTCCCTGTGCTGCGTCGGGGCACTGAGTGGCCTGGCCTCTCAGACAACTTGCCGTGTCGGCAACGCCTTGGGTATCGCTGGCGTGTCTACTGGTATGGTCGCAACATTGGCTGCGTTGAAGGCCTCCCCAGAGCTGTACACGCAGATGGCGGCATGCATTGGTGTAGGGGGCGTGATTGGGTCCATCATTGCCAAGCGCATGGCCATCACGGATCTGCCTCAGCTGGTTGCCGCTTTCCATAGCTTTGTCGGTTTGGCAGCCGTCTTGACCTGCATTGCCACGTACATGGATGAGGCAGCCCACTTTGCCCTTGACCCCTCCACAGCTGCCATGACCAAGCTGTTCTTGTTCTTGGGCACGTACATTGGTGGAGTGACCTTCACTGGTTCCCTGGTTGCGTACGGCAAGCTGCAAGGTATTCTGAAGTCTGATCCCCTCCTCTTGCCTGGGCGTAATGCCCTAAATGCCGGCATGCTGCTGGCTAATGTTGGAGCCCTGGGTTACTACCTCACCAACCCAGGTTACGCAGCTGATCTCAGCTGTCTGACGGCTACCAGTGTTCTCTCCTCGATCATGGGTGTGACCCTGACAGCGGCCATTGGAGGGGCAGATATGCCTGTGGTCATCACTGTCCTCAACAGCTACAGTGGCTGGGCGCTGTGCGCAGAAGGCTTCATGCTGAACAACAACCTCATGACCGTGGTGGGTGCTCTGATTGGCTCGTCTGGTGCCATCCTGTCCTACATCATGTGCAAGGCCATGAATCGATCCCTGCCCAATGTCATCTTCGGGGGCTACGGCACCGTGTCCACTGGTGGGGGCAAGCCCATGGAAATCACAGGCACCCACACAGAAATCAATGATGACACCGCCGTGGACATGATTGTCAATTCAAACAACATCATCATCACACCGGGCTACGGTCTCTGTGTGGCCAAGGCCCAGTACCCCATCGCCGAATTGGTGGACCTGCTCCGCAAGAAGGGCAAGAACGTCCGCTTTGGCATCCACCCAGTGGCTGGCCGCATGCCTGGCCAACTGAACGTGCTTCTGGCTGAGGCAGGCGTACCCTATGACGTGGTCCTGGAGATGGATGAGATCAACGATGACTTCCCTGAGACCGACCTCGTCCTCGTCATCGGTGCCAACGACACTGTCAATTCGGCAGCTGAGGAGGATCCCAACTCCATCATCGCAGGAATGCCTGTCCTGAGGGTCTGGTCCTCGTCAAATGTCATTGTCATGAAGCGCACCCTTGGTGTTGGTTATGCGGCAGTTGACAACCCCATCTTCTATAAGGAAAACACATCCATGTTGCTGGGTGATGCCAAGAAAAGTTGTGATGCACTGCTGAGCAAGGTTATAGCATACTATGGCACTAATTGATTAGCTAGCAATTTGAAACAAAATGCTTATCCATTTAGAATTAATCATGTTCAGAGTGAACTTTACGACAAGTACCTTTGATAGAAATTTACCAGATGAAGTGCCATTTTGGCCTAAACTATTAAGACCAAAGCAGTTTAAAGCTTCATATTTTTAATGATAACAGTTCATGTTATGCAAGATTTTGTTTCTGCATGTAGTACATGTACATGTAATTCCCTTAAACCTGTGCATTCAAAAGAGCTTCACTCAAAATGCTCTCACTTTGACGGAGTCCTAGCCATTTCGTCAGAATTTACCCCTTTGGGGCTAATTTCATGGAGCCACTAAACAGCCATGCATTTGCTAAACACAGCAAAGACCTTTCAAGATGTATTTGTGTGTTAGGGAGATGTTAATTTATTTAATGGGGTTTGCCCTTACCCACCCGTGTAAGCTGGTGACTTTTTTCACAAGCTCTCGGACAAGCACTGAGCATACAGTGTTTATTAATAATATGTATGTTGGGTAAGGGCAAACCCCGTTATATATATTAGAAAAGACCTGATTAGCATAATCTTCATGTAAGTAAAAACCAGCATACTGACTTAATTTAAGCTGTATGTGCATTGGGCTTGCGAATAATTCTGTGCTGATATATTTGTTTTATACTCGGTAGCTTTGCTGCTCAGTGAAGTTAAATGCCAAGGAGCTCGATGAAGTTGTGGGGGGGTTGAAAAACTTCTGGCAAAGGTAAAAAGGAAAGAGTGGTTGGAAGGGATAATGTCTTCATGAGCCCAGCTGACAATTAATCGCAGAGACCACCACTTTAAAGCCACTGGCCTAGCCGTGAGATCTGAAGCGCAGGATTTGCTTTTTTGTAATTATGGGTAGCTCAAGATTTGACCCCGTGTTATTCAGTACGATGAGCTGTGGAAGCAGGCGTGTAATGATATTCAAGCCAGTTATCTCCCATCGACAATACTGTTAGAATTTTTCTCATGTCCAAGGCACTTTGTAATTTACCATTTCGGCTTTATTCTTGGGGATTCACAGAGTTGTGTTTTGTTAGCCAGTCAGTGATGTGCAGGAGAAGAAATGATGATCCACTTTCAGTCGACATCGTGAATCCAATTCAGAAACTTGAATTAAAAGTTTGTGTGTTTTTTTGTCTATTTTCCTCCTTTCTGTGCACTTTTTTTTGGTTTAAATTCACACTTTAAATTGTTTGAAATTCTTGAGAGTATAAAGAATATTAAGAATATTAAAAGTAATAATAAATATTAAGAATGAAGATTCATTCAGTTGATTCGCCATGAAATTGTTTGAACTCAGATTCATAGTTTTTCATACATTATTGTATCAGTCAGTGTTCATTGATGCTGTTGCTTTTAATCAGTGTTCTTCTAAAATCCTTTTCTGCAGGGGGGGTTCAACACCATGATTTTTATGATTTTTATGGTTTATTTGTCTTGTTTGAATATGTTAACATGTAGTTGATTGACTACTGTTTATATTTATCTTTTTCGGTTTAATTTTGAAGACATTTGACTAGTTTGGTTAAGTTCATTTGAATGACAACTGTTAATTTTTGTCATTTTTGTAAGCGATTCATATGTGCTTACTGAAGAAAGCCTTTCCTCTTCTCTTTAATAACCAATGATCTGTAATATAAATGCAATTAGCATCTGGGTGCATCATGTTTTGTACCCGTTTACTTGTTATTGATCAACGAAACCTATAGAAAATACTTGTGGAATCTTAGTTAAAACAGGCACTGTCACAAGTTGAAAACTTACGGTCACAATTGCAAATTGATTTGTGAATATATTTTGCAGGATTTTTTCGTGGGGCTTTATATTTGTTCTGATTTTATTCTCATCTTTTTGTGGAGTTTCCGTCATGATCTGAGAAAAAAATTCATGCATAATGACATCAACACAGTAATTCTGATGTAAATTGTGTATTCAGACGAGCAATGCAGCAAAAATTTTCATTGTCAGTATTTTCAGTATGCACACAAGACTGTTATTAGAAATAACTTGGTATTTCATTGGTAACTTAAGAGCACACTGTATGGATGTCCACTGGAGAACCTTAATTTGACACATAAAACTCACCGGACTTTCACTCACGGAATTGGCGCATGCTAAAAGCTGTCAACGTACATAAATATCTTTGCTCGGGATATGGAGGTTGCTGTGGTTTGTTTTTAACTCTGAATAAATGTAACCCAGTAACAAATTGTGTCTCTGTGTTTGGGCATTAATCTCGTGGTCCTGTTCACCTACTGTCCCTCAAGAACAAGAACTAATGATGAAGAAGATTAGGATCAAACTTGTTAAAAATTGGAGGAAAATTAACCATTAAAAAATTTGACTAGTTTTGAAGCTTTTTTTCAAGCTGACTGCGGCATGGCTTTTGATTTTTTATTTCTAGTTAATTTGGTGATGGCTTTCAGATGTGGCAAGAAAATGCATGGTTTAACCCGGAACATAAGGCCTTGAGGTATTCCTACACGTGGGCTACCTGGTATTAAAGGTTGCAATGTGATGGATTTTGGGAACAGATGTTGGTGAAAACACTTTTTTGTAACTTCATGGCAAACTCTCTAATTTCATTGCACAATTTTGTAGTATGTGAGACATGAACTCCCTCACTAAGTTGCAACATCTTCAAAAATTTTCCAGATGTGTGTGATCGAGAGTGTTTGCGTGATGCCCGTAACTCAAATTTAAAACTTCTTTATTTTTCCGCTACGCATGGTACTGCATAGGGAAGTATGTGTAACATACATGTGCCCTATGTGTTTCCAGAACCGATCAAAACAATGGCTGCGACAGGAAATCTCAGCTGAATTGTTAAGTCGGCAATATGCCGTCTTCTGACACATTCCGCTATTAAGCAGTTGCGTCTGAAGAGACAGCT